TGTACGTGATTATGTTGTATTACTATTGTTAGAGCAACGATGACGCCCGCAGCGCGTGGGAAAAACAAAGGAGATTGTTACTCTCTAGTTGTACGTACGATATTGATGGAATAAATAATTTTATCTATTTTACATTATAAATGTACTTTTTGTTCTCATTCATGCGTATTGTGCACAGCTCAAAGTCGCGTTTCATTTATAAGTCCCGCGAAGCGTTAGATATTGTCTCCCAAGAAAGCTCCTATTTCAATGTAGCATATTACGCATTCTCTTTGAGAAGTTAGTAGCGGTGCAAAGACAAGAGACAAAAGCTTTCTTACGCCAGGAATTTGCTGCTGCTGCCGGCTCGGATGCATAAAAGCTCCGAGACAGGATAAAAAATGTATATATCACAGGACTGAAAAGAGCTTGCACGCACACGACTACAGACGTATTTATCTGAATCTCGCAAAGAGCCCAGGATTTATATCGAGACACCTTGCGTATCTTACACGCATCTCGAGCCATTGTTCAGGCGTATACGATACATATAAAATGAACTGATTTGCACCGGTACGCGTATAGTCAACGTGTAATCTAATTCACGGTTTTTTTCTAATAATAGTCCGTTGCAAATTAGCTTTTCGAGCTATCTCTTTTTTTCTCCGAGTTCTACGATCGATACTTCAACGCTAAATTTATTTCGACTTCGTAACCATCAAACATATAATAGTTATATTCGTGCTCGAGGTGTAGATCGTTTCGAGGCTCCATCAGTCGCACACATACGATTCCGTCCTTTTAAACGGCTTGAGCCGTAAGTAGTTCAAGCTCAATTTCAAGAACGTTTTAAAAGCACAACTATATGTAATGCATAGACTACGTGCCTCTTGCGATTGAGTAGCGCGACGCGCGCCTGTATTACGCTGCATTTCGTAGGTACACCGCCTATGGAACGAAAAAAACTCAAGCTCGCAGATGTGTATAGCATGCGCATTACTTTGCGTGATTTATGCGAATCGATGCTGGTGATTTCGAATACGTTCGATGGAAAAATATGCGTCCCCGCACGAGCGTGCCAAGATCGAGCTTTAAAAGCTCGAATTCTGAAGCAAAAAATTTGCGAGTGTAGCAGACTGTTTCTCACGAGCTTACGTGTAAGAACCCCGACTAGATTACAGTAAGAAAAGCTCCGGCTCATGGACTATATACATATTTTGTGTTTAACACACAACGTGATGTATTCAAGGACAATGCGGATTGCAAGCGGCGCGAACGTATAGCTCTGTTAGCTATTGTGTGATGCACGTATATGCAATGTGCAGCATGTGCTTTGAGGATTGGCTCGCTTTCATTTCTCTCCTCTCCGTCCTCTCTTTCCCTCTTCTCTTTGCGTGTCGAGGAGTGATTTTTTATGCTTTTGGACAAATATTATCCTAAATTCAAAAATATTAGTGATAGATTGGAAAAAACGAAGAATTGCATTTTTTCTAAAATATTTCTTCTTTGTTACCATCTTTGAATTCACTCCATGTACATAGAGTGGTGAAAAAGTGATTATTCGTTCGCATCTTTAGTTAAAAAATTGATAATAATTACCAATGCAAGCATATTCTTGCCTAGAACTAGCGCTTTGTCGTTTGCTCGTTATACAAGAAATTTGCAAGCTCGAAAATGTTACGTTTATCGCGAGAGCTTAACGAAGCTATTTTTGGAGTCTTTGACTCCTGCAGGAAATAATAGGGTTTATAATATTGCATAAGGCAACAATAATAGAATGTAAGGTTGAGGCAACACACAATCGGTAAGCATCGAGCTTGCAAAAATCGAAGATTCTTGAACCGATCGACTTTGCATACAGAGGTAGCGAACAGGTATGCGAGCAAATCGCGAAATATAATCACGAGGTTAAAGCAGGAAACTAAAGGATCAAGAGTAATGGGTAAGGGTGTCTGGGTCGTACGCTAGGCGGCATCGTGCACATTATAGAGAGACTGGAAAATCAATGGGCCGGCTGGTGTCATCGTACACGCAGAGCAGAACTTGCAGTGATTAACTGCCGCCTGTAGAATCGGTTTTCGTCGCGCGTGGCCTATGCAGCTATTTAATGCATATCCTTCGAGCCCGCAGGGGGTTTAATTTCGATGCGCTGTGAAAGGATACGTCATCGGAAGCGACGCTCTGTACTATATGTAAATTAAACAAAATCGCTATCGACGTGATCTAGGTTGGCTTTGATCGGACCTGCTAAATAACGTACATCCAACCCTTCCGAATGTTCGCATGCACGTGTACGTATACGTAAGCGTCACGTAAAACATATACAAACACGTACACACATATAAACACACACACGTAAAAAGAGTTAGGTCGACTCGGAGTCTAGGTCAAATCGATAAGTATACACATACATACCGAGAGTTGGCCGCGAGACCAACGCACCTTCGCAAGTTTTTCGAGATGACGTCAAAGTCACTCGACGGTATATGCTGCGCACTGTGCTACGTCACAAAAGAGCAGCGCGCCACCTCGTTTTCTCTCTTCTCTCATTCTTTCCTCTTCTCTTTTTTTTTTGATGCAATTTATTTTATTTATATTCCATGTATATCCGTTGTATGAAAGCTGATTAATGATCAAGTTGGCGGAAATTATATCTCGTCTTCTTTGCGGGAGAGTGATCTATAATGATAAAAAAAAAGTCATGCAAGCTTTAGAAATTATTTGAGCTTTTCGCACGCTCGATGTTTGCCTAAATCAAAGATGTGCTTTGAGCAAATTTCAGTGAATTTACCTATTTATTCTATCAAATACTTGCTTGAAAAATGAATTATTCGCATTTTATATTCACAAAATCCTTCGGCTTTAAGATACGAAAATCTAGAAAAAAGGCTAATTTAAACTTTTTCAAGAGTGTAAACAAACGTTAAAAAACTCTTTCCGCTGCGCATACGATGAAAATCGAAAATTTTCTATTAGTGTAAAAAAAGGAATAAACAGGTCACAAGAGTGCATAGTAAAATTTTATAAAAAATTCATCAGCAAGCCAAGCTCGGAACGTGTCACGTGAAAAAATTGGGATCATGAAAGTACAATGGCTTCATACATACGAATAAACTACATACGAGCACGGAGCAATAAAAAAGTAATCGGCGCTTATTAAAGACACCAGCTTGATCTGCCTATAAGCATAAACTGCAAACTATCAAGATGTGTACCAAGGAGCTAAAATTAAAATTCAAAGTACTGTATGAGCAATGACATCGTCGCGATTAATGATTTTCGTGAAAACAGATGTGAAAACTCAACTTTATGAAAGATACAGCGAAAACTTCAAATACTCTTGAATAAAATGGCGCGAAAAATTCTAAAAGCATTTTTTTTTTTGAGCTTGAATCGATAGTCAACGAAACTATTGACGCTTTATGAACAGGAGTCCAATTGAATGTATGTATTTTTAACGTGTTCAATCATGGCCCAGTTATAAATAATGCACGTCTCTTAAACGTGACGATATTCCAATCTATATATTATAATTGCCGCAGCGTCGATCGAGCGAATTATCACTTTAATTACAAGAACTAGATCGTCGGCTCGTTAACAATAAACGAGCTACAATTGCCTTAATGCAATCACAAATCGCTGCCATCGCTATGGTACGGTTTCTTGGTCGGCTTGGTCGTGTCGTCGCAGATTCATGACTTTTTTTGCACTGGTCAAATATCAAAAAATGTGTCAGACACGTACGTACGTTGCAAGGGGGATGAGAAAATAAGTCGGTCAAGCTTGAGACGACGACGCGCGAGTCACGCTCGCCGTAATGAAAAGGGAACGAAAACACGAATATCGTTTTTTTGCGGATATATACTTTTCCTCGCACGTGTAAGATCGAGGAAATGGAATGGGATTTACGTGTGTGCAGTAAAAATGTATAAAAAAAGTATATACAAAAATAGCATAGCTCTAAGTGCTCGAAACTTTCCCTCAATGAATCTCTTACATACTGTTGTACGTTACAGCGAGGGTGTATTTAATGAAAAGGAATACTTATGTTAACCAATACAGAGCACTATAATACTCAAAGACTTTTGGATCCCTTTTTCAACGCCACGAGGTATCATTGACGTCATCCGGATGTTAGCTATGCCCTTTTACGTTTACAATCATGAGGTGTAAAATTCCAAGAGAGACGTAATTCACTTGAATAAAAAATGTGGAATTTATTAATTTTCGAAAAAAGTGAATTGGTCGTTTCTTTCGGCTAATTCGACTGAATTTATTTTTAATTGGTTTTTAATTATAATATTAATTTTGAATTTAATATGATAGTTATTACCCAGATATTACCGTCGACAACACAAAAAAATATAAAAGTTAGCATAGCAATTTATTTTTAATAGATATAAATTATAAAATCGTAATATGCCCAGTATGTGTCTCTCGAGCGATGCTGCTGCTCTTTGTCAAGTTTGTGCCACTCCTTTGCATAACTCGTATTGGTCGTACTTTATTCACAAATATTCTCTTTAAAAATATCCAATGTGTACAGAGTAAATGAAATGCGCTACAGATTGTCCTCTCGAAACAAATATTTCAGTCATTGATCGATCGAGCATAGCGGAATATAACATTCACACTAGAGTCGCGCGCAGCTCCCGAAATAGCCCGCCTTTTTTTTCTTCAAAGCCGCTCCGGAGTCTGTGCGAACTGCATAAACGCCGGTCGAAAAGAGGAAAAAAAGACAGCTTTCACTCGACTAGGTCTGAATGGGCGGAAAATTTTCGCGAGCATCTCTCGCTCTCTCTCTTGCGCCGCACGGATCGCACAGACACACATGTAGGCGTATTCCGTGTACGGAAATAGTGCCGCACACTGTAAACTCGCCGCTGATCTTGAACTCCGCGTAGATACATTACTTATACATACAAGGCTGAAAAGGAGTGCTTTTTTCATTAGTCCTTGTATTTTCTTTTCGTTTAAGCTGAGAGAAAGCGAGCGACGTTTCAAAGCTTAGCCAAAGGTACACCTTTTGTTTAGAAGAAAAAGGGAAAAATAGAGACTGAATAAGCTAGTGCGTTTCCATGTCTATTCCTCAGGAATGAAAGGAGCCCTGGCGATGACACGTTTTATTTGCATTGCAATTGATTTCGACATTTTCAATTCCAATTATGACTAAACTGTTAAATAATATGTTTTTTTCACTTTGGTCTAGCTGTCGAGTCAAAATAACGTACAAGTTTTTGTTTTTTGTTTTGTTTTTACTAGATTATACTCGTTACCAAAGATTTCTGACGCATCAATATCAAATGGGACAAACCAAAATAAATTGTCCGGTGCTCGACCACGCAGCGACTCGATTTTTAATGATTATCATTTATGAATACGCAACCGAAACGGTCACGTGTACGAAAAGTTTCGCCATTTTCATAAGAGCGTATAATAGTGCCCAGACATTGCTCAAGCTTACTTGAACTTGATACTTGTTTTTTCGACTGCTTTTTGCGCGTATATATCGCAAGCTGCCTTTGTTTTTATAGCGTCTTAACAATGGATCAACGAATACTGTGAATTTTTTTTCTCAATATTTTATACGAAAATACTCGTCGACGAAAGTCGTATTTCAGTATGTTTGAATACAAACGTAATTTATAAAAAAAAAGAAAAAAAACAGATATTATACTGCTTGCAGGTGAGTTTAAGCGTAAGGCCAGTCGAAGCCGATAACACAATGAATCGCTCGTTGTCAAATTAAGATAAAAAAGTCGATAAAGTTAATTAATTTACGTCGAAAAATCTGAGCGGCCAATAGGAGCTCGAACTTATCTCTCGTAATAAGTCGAGCACGAGATGCCAAAGCTCGAGTACAAACATTTAGTCCCGCGAGATATATGCTGATTCGAGCTTATCATCGTCATCATCGAGGTCTTTTTCGCTATCGACAACGACATCGTATGCGAAACGATACGATAGACAGAGTCGATCAAGTTTGGTACATGGAAGCATAAAAAAGTCACGACGGTCGGTGGAACGAAGCGCTAGAACACAAAGTGTTTAGGTGAAGGTGGGGTGCTGCGTCATTGCAACTAAGCGGCGGGTCCTCCACCTTCGCTCCGTCCGTCTCTCTCTTTCTCTCGCTCGACAGTCGACGCTCACTACGTTACATATATATATTTGCTCGGTTTGCGTGCGTCGGACTCGTATATGCTCCGACTCGCTCCGACTAGGACGCCGACTAGCGGCTGTCTCCGGCTACAGTCAGCAGCAGCAGCGAACTCGACCCAAGCTGCCTCGAGCTTGGTCCGTACGTCAGTGTGTGTTGTGGTACTGCTTCGGCCAGTCGACCGGCTGGCTGCTCCGGATTTGCGCTTCGAGTGCGCTGTCATACATCTATTATCCACACACACACACACACACACACCCTCGCACACGCACACGTTGACGCGTGTGTGGGAAAGCGTCGCTTTTTAACCGAGCCGAAAATTCATTACTGCCCGAGCGCGCGTATCGATAGTGAGCACGCGCGCGATTGTTGTATAACAACATAAGAAAAAGAATCGCCGAGGAGGTCGTTGCACTCGAGTTGCCAAGAGCGCAGAGAGCTCCGATCAACGTCTCCTCGTCGTGCTTACCACCTAGTGCTGCAGTGTCGGTGTCGGTGTGCATGTAGCTTCGTGTGTGGTGACTGTGTGTCCAAGTGCAAAAGTGTGGCCGTGCGCTGCGCTTTATACCACAGAAAACAAGTGCAGCGCGAGTTTACATGTAGTATACGTGCAACACCATGGGTGCATGAGAATCGCAGCGCTCCTCTAGCAGTCGCTCGTATTATACTCGTTCTATAGGCAGTAGCTGCAGCAGAGAGCGCAGCACGCATCGTACGCGCAGTAAGGTAACAAAGGGTGCCAGTCGCGCACCAGCACAGCAGCGAGAGCGAGAGAGAGAGAGAGACAAGTGCAGTCGATGAAGCAAACGCTCGCGGTGCCGCTGCTACTGCCGCTGCTCCGATGAAGAGACTCCGAGGAGCTCTGAGCTGACTGAAGCTTCGAGTCGTCGGTCCCAAGCCCTTGTTCGGCCGTCTCGTCGACAATACGACAGAGTCGATTGCGGAAGCCCAAGTTGCTGCTGCTGCTGCTGCTGCTGCACCGACGACCATTGACAGCCATAATAACAACAACGACAGCAATAACAGCCGTACTCTAGCCACCATCATGACTTACGGCACGAATTTCTATCATCATAACGACAACGTCTCCTCGGACAAGTGCAGATTTGAGAATGAAAACGGCGACAGGTTAGTCCCTCCCAGTTTTTTCTTGCGCTCGACTCCCTGCACTCGATTCTCCACTTTATCCAAAGAGTATATTATATATTGTATGTGCCACTGCACTGTGCAGTCTATTATATACCCACGTATAAATATATCGCTAGGGGTGGAGTCGCTGCACTCTCGCCTCGACTCGCATGCGACTCCACAATAATATAATTCACCGTCGAGACAAAAATAATTTAAAAATAATAATAATTATAATAATACCATTGGCGCATAGTCCCATTTCATCGAGACTCCCGAATGCGGAAAAAACATGCGTGTTTCTGCTGCTGCTGCTGCTTTATTTGCACATGCGAGCTATCGTGTATCAAGCCGAGCCGAGCTCGCGAATAGAAAGGCAGCTGTGCAGCTATGGAGAGCACATTGACATTATAAATTAATGCGCTGCACGCGTCGATCTCGACACTGTCGACGACCAGGAGGGAAAAGACAAAGAAGAGCAACCGAGACACTCGTTGCTCATTTTATTATTTCAGAGTAAACGAGAAATTATTGTTTCTGGGCTTCTTCCTTGCTCCAATAATAATACGCGTTCGCCTCATTCGAGATGTCAATCGCCACACACATAGTCGACTTGAAATCCCACCGATGGTCGTCGTTTTTTCCCCCCCAAATACAGATTGGCAGCCAATTAAAATATTAAATATATACGCGTCGTATATATATGAGCAACCGAATTGTCTATTAAACGCGTAGGATCGTATCCCGACGCGGTGACTCATCAATTTATGCCGTGCTTTATTGTTTCGATTCGAAGACACACTAAACCATTCCAGGCAGTTTAAACACGAGTTTCGCAAAATTAGTATTGAAAAATATACACACATGCGAACCACGAGCTCCGGTGAAAGTGTCGAGATTCAAAGCTGCAACGTGTTTGATCGAAACTTTTATTCTCTCTCTTTCTTTCTTGTACATACACACAAGCACACACATGATTGTTGAATTTTTCGTGAAATTATTTATAGAAAGTTTTCGTGTTCTGTCTAGGATTTAAAATTTGCTATTCGCAACGACGCTATTATAGGCTTGCTTTATTAATTTTGTATTTGTGTGTCAAACCTTCTCACGCACTCTTGATTTTAAAAATATGTGAAATAATATAAATAAAGCAAATGCACTCTAGTTGCATGGTCAACGTACTGGGGCTCTATATTTAAATCACTTATGCTCGATAGGACAATGTCGCCTTGCATTTTTAAATTTCTGCACTCGCTCTACGATTATTTTTATACTGCAGTAATTGAGATCTTTGAAAATAAATGCATAAAAATTATGAAGAAAAAACACACTCGCTCACATGTACACACACACACGCATACAAAGAGAATATTCTCGTTTGATTTTACTTTATCACGCAAAGTCAATTGCACACACGCGAGCTGAAAACACACATCACCCATACAACGACGAATCCTGTCTGTGTGTGTGAGTAGCAGACCGGTAAGTGCGCCGAGAAGAGATACCTTTGCAGTGATACATCGAAAAAATGATTTTCCACTCGGGCATCATATAGTATAGTATCGATAATTTGTCCTGCACATAATGGCAGTTGGCGTCCAAGTGAGCGAATTGCGCGTAATACGGAGTTACAAAAGTTCTTTGTACACGGCCCACGTGATTCATTTTTTTTTTTCGTCGTTGTTTCAACAAATGAAAACTTGCTCGCTCGCGTATACTCGTGTATCGAATCATCCTCGCACGAGTTGCTATTATGTTATGTGCATTCGCGTCTCTGCGTGTGTGCAAGCAACAAAGTCAGCTCCCACGCGCTGCTCAAACTTCTGTAACGAGGAAATCAAATTTCGAGGTGATATTTCTCCGAGTCTTTGTCGTCATCGGAAAATGAATTATCTACTTCATTTTAGCTCAGCTTTCAAATAGATTGGAGTTTATAGGCAAGATGAACATCGAATTATGCACGTGTAACTGTAATCGCATTACTAATTTCCGCCCAGACGATGATGAGGGACAAAAAAGGTGGAATAAGTCGAGGAAGAAAGCGTTGAAGCGTGGCTACATAAACGCGAACACGCACTACGGAGTGCTTCATGAGCCATGTATATGCATGGAGCATGGCCGCTTCCTTCAAATATGGAATTCGCTTGCTTCCGGCTTATCTTCTCTATCATAAAATCGTAAATCCAGATTTGACATCGGGAGCCGATTGCAATTGCCCCTTCCTTCTATCTCTCTTTTCGTCGATGTAAAGATCCTAGAAGCCGGGATACTTTCACTTTTTCGAATCCTTAAGCACACGGGCGCGCATCGAGTCGATCGACTCGAAGATATTTCTCGTTGTAACGTGTTTACCAACACTCGTGTTACAGCTCATAGACCGCGTGCACCATACGTATAGAAAGTGACAGCTAATAAAATCCCGTATGCTCGCAGCAAGCGTCAAGAGCTCGCTCGGGATGAAGGAAGCTCGATGAAAGTTTTTACGACCTGTGCGAAAAAATAATATATAATATATAACAGCCGTTCGGCTACTTACTCTTGCCTTGCAGCACGCGGAGCGTATAATGGTCTAGGATGTATGATTCACTCGAAACGCGTCGAGAATTCATATGTGCTAATTTTCACCTGCTAAACGAATTCTCTCCTCTAATAAATTTTCACTCTGGTCCCGGTAAGGAAAGCTGTCAATCTTGCAATTATAAACGGGAGCGGCTAGAGAGTTTCTACGCCGTGCATCGAAGATGATAAAAAAAGAACCTTGCGACTGTGCGCGCTCGCGACCTCTTCGATCAATTCAGGATTCACCGCTTTTTTTTTTTTGTTAACCAAAAAGGTTGCCTGCCTCGTAGCAGTCTATAGTGTGCAGCAAGGTCGGATCCAAGAGCAGCGTGTGTGTGTGTGTGTGTGTGTGTGTGCTCGTTGGCAAATTGCGACGACCTTATTATAGTAAAACCGGATGAGTAGCTCGTTGCACCTATACCGACGATGAAAAAAAAGGGTGAAATCGCACGCGTATCCGAGAGAAATTGCCAACGCGGCACGGAGGAGAAAAAACGTATTATGCACTCTTAATCGCATATCGCGCAAATGAATATTCAGGCTTTGGAAGAGGAGTTACGAGTTACGTAACGAATCTATTATCTATCCGCTAGAACGAGCTTTATGAGGAATTTTATGAAAAAATGTTCAAGAGGACGAGGCACGTACGAGCAATCTTGAATCCATTTTCAAAATCGTTTGAATTAATTAAAAAGCTCTTCGAATTTTTATCGAATATTTCTGCAAAAAGTTAAATTCATTATTTGAAGATGACCTTGCTAGGTCGTGTAACTTTGAAGCCAATGAGGTTGTTGCTCTATATATATGGCAAAATCTTTCGAGTACACGCGAGTACAATTTAATTTTCAGAAATTTTTTACTAATTGAGCTGAGAATTCGAAATACTTTTTAATGCTCGATCCACGAAATTCTTGTGAAAGACTGTCCAATGATTCATTCTTTTTTGTTCAAGTACAATTAATTCATTAGGCATTGAACGAGGTACATGACAGTTTGTGACTCGAGATTAAATGGAATATTTTCGTCTGCTCTCGACGGGTTATCAGCGTCAATCGCTCCAAAGTCGCCTTCGTTTATTTCTATACACAACCGTATAATAGGCCCCTCGTACGATCGCAACCATTACACCGAAGCCTCGACGATTGCAATTTTTCCCTCGGTTGAAACAGAGCTGGGTTATGAATGTAGTCAATTTGATTTGACGTATGCGAGCGTTCGATAGAACAAAAAAATTTACTTTGTATATCTCTAGCCGCAGTGAGGATCAGAGAATATCAAGTATACGTATTTTCCAGGCACATTATACATGTTCAGTAGAGCACGATTCCTTCGCGTTCGGTGTCCCGTTTATTCTCTACCGAGCTCTCTGCTATCTGCTCTGTTGAACTGATTAGGAAATGCTTTCATTATACACCGAGTGCCGCTATAGCGCAGAGACTAGCATCAACTAGTTGGACACTTTTTTTAAATTAATCGGCAATTTTCTGATGCTGAAATTACCGAACCTTGTGAAAAAATGCGAAATTTAAATACTAGCTCGAACGTCTGTATACGATACAAAAATGTCCGAAGCGCGAAATATGCGTTGCGAGTTTTACGTGTCTCGCTGAACGAGCCTTCATAATGTATCAAACTTGGGTCGTTGACTTTGTTGACCGCGACTGATAGCTCGTTAAAAGAGAAATAAAACTAAACTTAAAAGGTCTCGGGCGTTTATTCATAAAACTATCGCGAGAATGATTCATCTGCGCTTTCAATTAACTGTACTCTGTTTTTTGTTCAACAAGTAGTATTGATCACTGCCTACTTGCAATAACGCGTTTACAATTGAGCTTATTGATTCGAAATCAAATTTATTTAGCTCGCTGTTAGAAAAAAACTAGGCCACAGAATAGAAATGAAATTAAATTAAAATGTTTTTTAAACAAAAACATTGATTGAAGGTCAAGGCTCACTCGAGTTTCATATCCTTTTTCGCGGTGTATCCTGCTTGTTGTAAAAAGAACACGACAACGGAATTCCAAGGTTAACGTATAACAATTTTATTTTTTCTAAATTTCCATTCGTCAAATGTAAATTTAATTATGAATGCCACAAGTTTAACGATTCTTTGTAAAACAACAATACCAGTGTTACTGTTTATTGATTTACACGTTTTTTTGTCATTTGTATTTTTAGAAAATGTCATTTTCAGATAAACTTTTCAAAGCAGCAAAAAGTGAAAGGCTCGTCTCGATTATACATGTTTGACTGAATTGAAAAAATGATCAGTTATGGGAAGTAGTACTTTCTTTCGCAAATAAGATCTCGCATCATTTCTATGTACTATATCGTCTGTTTCCAAGCGTAACATCGCAATATGTATTCAAAAGCGTTATTGCACCAATCAATCGAAAGAGACGTAGTAAATGTTTTTCAATTAATCCGTTGGTTTATTTGTCAACGACCCGTTATGTTCCATTAGTTACTTGTATAATATGTATACGCGAAGAATAAAAAAGATAAAAAAGTGGCTAGTTATTCGCATTTGAAATATCGAAACTAGTCGAGTACATGGCCTCGGAGCCTTGATTAAATTTTCCATCGGACAATGCACGAGCGCACACAGCTGCAAACTTAAAATATCTATCCTCCTGCATTTTACCGTTAATATATTTTCATTTTCTACTCGACTCAATAAAAACAATTAAACGACTCTTTGCGTCCATTTTCGAGGCTAGTATACATATGACGACAATTATCGTGGCAATAAATTATTCGCATTATTATTACTAAACAGACTCGCAGGCCTGTGTCTAGCCATTGAAATTCGTCTCGAGTACACAAGCGCAGCTGAATTCGCATTATATAGCGTTCCCGATGATAATTCGCCATCTGGCGCCAATTTTCGTTGCTTCACGCGAATATTTACGAGTTAGCATTCAGCTGTACGGCAAACTGTCAGATAAAGAAAATTGCGTGTTTTTTTTTTTTTTTTTGAATTTTAAGGATCGATGGCGTTCGGTTACTTGTCAGAAATAAATCAGCCAAAGATGTGCTCGTTTACAATAGCGTGTGCTAACTAAGAAAAAAAACCTGATAATTGACGAGGAGTATTGGCATATTTCTTCAAGTTCAAATTAGCTCACTCCTTAGTTTCCGTCAATCAGAGTTTTGAGTTTCGTTTAGCGTGGCACGTGGAGGAGTTCGAACCTCGAATACTTCATGCGAATAATAAAATGTTAAAAAGACCTCCGCAAGTAGTTGTCTCTCGCAATTCGCTGCCCGAGCTGCGCACGTGATCGTCGTTGTGCACGTGAATATATATGTATATTAGGCGCACTTGTGTGTATGAGTGATTTGCTGCACACGCTGAAGAATGTGTCAGGACGTTCTGCGTACTCTGTGTTATTATATTGTCGCTCGAGACAGATGAGAAATTCTGAATTTTTCGCCGAATGGAACGAAGCGTAGCGCGCGACTGCTATACATAGAAATTATATTGATGCGACGCGATTATTACTCGAGAGAATTTGAAACGTCAAGCAGGATTATAAAATTGACTTCGTTTCCGGAATGTTCGCGAGAAAATGTAAAAATGGAATCCCTCAGGGAGCGTAACAGTAAGATTCGAACATAAAATCGATGCTTCCGATAAAACAACTACTTTTCGAAAAATTGAGAAAATTCTATTTTTAATTCGATCAAATTCTCAGAGGGTCTTTTTGCATAAATTTAATTTGCTTGCTTTTTTGTCGTGCTTTGCAGACCATGCCACGCGTCACCGGAGGAAACCATCCTGAACAACATCAACAACCGCCACAGCATAGGCAACGGTAGCAATGGAACAGGATTAGGATCGAAATTGAAATGTCCGGCTTCGATATCGCGCCTGAAAGTGGAGAAAATCGAGGGTGGCCTGATGGTGGCTGGCGTCGTGGTCGCCGCCAACTGTCAGATAGCCCTGCCGGCCTTTGGTTTTCTCTTCGTACTCGCCGGCGCCGTTCTCACCGGTAAGTTATGATTTTTTTCTTCTTCCGATAGATATACTTACTGCAAACGCGATTATTATCTCGATGTACGAATAAAGTAGAGAGAAAAAAGTCATTGAATTGTTATTGCACGCGCCGCGCTCGTCGACGTATATCCCGTTCGATCGGATAATCGCTGCAGAATCCGCAAACAAGATTACGAAGGAGAAAAGAAAACATCGATGGACAAATAGGCGCGCGCGCGATATCGCATTTTATCGAAAGAAAGAGAGAGAGAGAGAGAGAGATACTCTTGACACGGTCAATTTCGATGGAAAATTGCGCCGCGCGAGCTTCTTATTGCCTGAGCCGAGAAGCTTCTTGACACAGTAAGAGACATGCGCGAGCGAAACAGAGAAAAGAAGCTCCTCAAGCTTCGATGAGCTGCGAAAGACCCTTGTACGTTTTATATATTTTTCTACTCTGGCGATATTATGTCACGAGCCGATGCAGAGCTGCGCTACATGTACACCTCGAGTCAAGTGGACAATTTCCAACTAATACCGCGCGCGTCCCGATTTAAATTCGCATTCGAAGCTCGCTGATTTACTCGAGTCTATGGTATCGCCAGTGACTTGGTTTCTATTTGAATTCGATCGATAACGTAAACATATATTGAACTCGTGATGCATCGCTTACGGCTTTTACCAATGGCAATTTACGTACACGTGTGCACGCGATCGAGCTATTCGATGGAAAACTCGATGGCATTTCATTGAAATGGGTAAGGAGGCCCGCAGAGATTTTTACGCTCGCGCAGTTTAACATGCGTAAATGTGTGTGTGTGTATACATACATGCATACATGCAGTACATGAAACGAGAAAGATCTTTGTGAACAATTTTTTAATACCGAGGTCATATGTATGTGTACGTAGAGCCACTCGAACTGCGTATATAACGGAATTTTCCTTTTCTCTCTTTTTCTTTCACTTTATTTATCGACTAAGAAACGAGGACTCCTCGAGCTTTGATTGAAATTATTGTTTGCCTCGACGTTACAAAAGTAGGATGAAAATTTAAAAATGAATTTTGCAATGTACGCGCGTGTGTGTGTACTTCTGTGGAAAGACGACCGTTATTGAAACTTTGAGAAAAGTTCGTGCTCCATTTTTGTGACCGGCAAGAAAAGTCGAAAATTTATTCATCTTTTATGCAAATCCAGACTCGCACGCGCTGACACACACTCGCATTCAGCTGTTCCCTTCAGAGCGTAAGCGCTTTTTATTCAAGGCTCCATATTGCGCATTCCTTTCGCAAGCTCGAACAGTGCGCGCCTAGCACATACATGCGTACCTAATGTATTTTATTCCAATTCCTTTTTTTGCCTCCATTATACAGCTGCATCGTATCGAGGTCCTGGCGAGGACGAGGATAAAAATTCCTACGCCGCTCGGATCGCCTTCACGGGCAACTCGCGAGTCCTCGGGCCCATCTGCATCGCCGTCGGCCTTCTCATGCTGCTCTGCGGCTCGCTGCTCTGCATGTTGACTCGCAGGGCGCGTCGACGCGAGCGAAGGGTCGGCTTTCACTGTCCACTTCACGGCGACTTTTATCCTCTCAACTCGTCCCAAGGTGTCAAGCTAGTCGGTAAGTGACATTACTTTTTTCTTTTTTCCTTTATACATTACGCACTCGCAGCGCGAAACCTTTCAACTGCCTTATAGTGCAGGCGTTGAAAATCAATCTTTCTCGATGTGCTTTTTTTGTGCCGTCGTCGTTGTTTGCACGTGCTACTACAGCAACGGCAATTGAAATAAAAATCTGCACCTGCGAATATAAAACCGTAAAGCGTGCGGATAAAAATAAAAGGGGAATTTCATATATACGCCGCATATATAAGCGCGACGTAACGGTATACGCGCGTGATTTGGCATGGATACACATTATCCTTTCTTGCGTGCCTGCGTGCGCATATATACATCAGGATATATCTTTTAATTGCAAAAAAGACTGCAGCGAAGCGTGACGCTATTTCTACGTGATAGAGCACAAATGCGCGTGGATGAATATACGTATTTTTTCTTCTCTTTTTGCGTTGCTATCGCATATTGATACGAAAAAATCAATCGGTGCTTCAATAAAAGCCAAATCATTTTTGGCTTTTGAGCGACTGCTCTACAATGAGTGCTTTTGCCCGCACACATTTTATAAATTTGTATACGATATGCGATGCTGTGTTAGCATTCGGTCATTATACAGGTTCACGCGTCAATAAAACTTTGCGTTCGTCGACGCGAGAGCTTAGTGCAGTATAACGACGCGTACTCACAAAAGATGTTTTAACGAGGTCGTGTGGATACAGCGGATTAATTATAACGTCGCAATTTCAGTCATATGTGCGTGCCTGCACTTACAGATACCGAAATAAACTCGTTGAAAAGAGCGAGAATCGCGTTAAATCACACTTTTTACCAACGAAGCCGGTGACGAAAAAGAAAGCAGCGCATGAATAGCTACCAATAATCGAAGTTTAATGACAGACTTTCGAAAATAGTCATCGAAACACAGCAGCAGCAGCAGCAGCAGCAGCAGGTAGCGATTTATAAAAAGGATTAGCTATTCAAACGTAGTCGCGCGCACCTGTACATATACGATACAATTGTGTGTAACGTATGTCATAGATAGAACATCGACGATAACGTGTGTACATTTATAACCTTGGCAATGCATAATTTGTCGTTTCCAACGTGCTGAAACAAAAAGAGAATTAACTGTCTCTCCTTATATACGTTGGCCGCGCGACGCGTACACAGTCACACATACACACGAATATTGCATCTGTCGATGAGTCAAATTTTGCGAGCTGTCTGCGGCGAGTATTATGCGACTGCAGCCGAGGCTCGAGAGAGACTTGTGTAACTCGCGCGCGCGGGAGCTTTTCGTGAGAATATTGCAGCGCGCGTCCATTACGTCACACAGCGTAATATATTCGCACATAATTTTTTTTTCCTCTCAAATATACTTCCTCGCGTTTCCACGCGTGCGATTCGAGTCACGCAAGAGAGGGGAAAGCCCAAGAGGGTATAGACGAGGAACATATTATAAGCGCGCGACGCATTCGGAACGAGGCCTAAGCAAAAGCAGCGACGCGTCGTCAACCCCTATATGCAGTGCGCCGCTAAGCGGATTGCACCTATAGATCCAAGTGCCAGTCTGTAAAGCCAAATTCAGGCTAATACGACTAAATCGAATTATCAGTCTTAAATATACCCTCTTCGGTCAACGGCACGGCAAAGTCTTCGTAGCCCGAGCTCCAGGGCATGTTATGCCGAAGGCTTTTCGTACTGTTGCGTGCTGTTAAGAAAAAGCGACAAATTTCACGCAATGCGTCGTATTTTAAAAAACATTCGTACACGATCGATAACCGATTTAATTTAATGTATGAATGTGAAAAACAGCTAATTTTCATTATTATAAAATTGTACTGTCCGATCGAGCGATGAAACCAAATTTTTTCTCATTCAGCCTATATTCGAGCTCCCATTGAAACGTATATAATTTCCACGTCGCATGTATGCATTTCGACATTTTATAGCTTGGCGCCAATTCCCAAAATGACCCTATTTCTAATTGGCCTGAGAGAGAGCGAGACACGCGAATCGTTCAATGCGCGCCGTCGAGTTCTACTTTCCACGAATAAATGTGCAGATCGAGCTTTAAGTGGCAATATATAAATAAAACGCGCGTCGCGCTCTCAACTCGTGGACGTTCGATTAAAATCGTTGTCTCATGAATATACACGTGAAACTCGCTGTCGTCCGAGCCGACGACGCTAGACTTGGCCTTTATTGTTCGTTGGCTGAAATTCCGATCGTCGAGTTACATGTTAGCTATAAATATGTATGCTGCGCACGCTCAATAGATAGTTGTTACCTTTTCTTCTTCTTTTTTTTTTAGATTACACCTACTTGGGTAAATGAGCTTTTTTTATCCGCCTACACACACGACAACTGCTTAGCTCCTCGGGTTAAGCAGTGCAACTCGTTGTTGTTTTTTTCGCGACTGTGGCACAGACTGTGGCGAGCCTTGACACAAAAGAATACATTATACATCTAAATTCGCGTCGATCCTCTTTACTCGAATCAATATAAGACTTGCTTGTAATGCGCCCGAGCAAGCTCGCTGCTGCGTGTATACAATTCGAGCTCTAATCGAGCTTTTTTCGCACCAACGTCTAACGTGACTCTGTTCCTTTTTGCTGTGCCAGGCAAGAGCAGCTGGATGAAGATACCGTGCTTCGGATCCAACGGCAAAAAGCTCGACTCGCAGGTGGGACCGCCCCAGTGTCCGCACTCGGTCCTCAGCAGCACCCGGAGCTCCGTCAGTAGTTCACCGCTGAGCCCTTGTCCGACACCGATGCCGTTCCTCGTCACGTCTGGATCTATAAGGTATGCTTGAAATGCGACTTCTTATCGGCGCTATCATATTATAGTCTATAGCTGTATACGAGCGTCGATCGATCGCGTTCTGCGGAAGCCACGAACTTTAACCCGACTGCGGCATTTCATCAGCTTGGAATGCATTGAGATTTTTTCTTTTTCCTTTTTTTCTTTTCTTCAGTTTTTTGTTTTTTTTTTTTATAGCCAAGTCTTGCCAAGCTGCAATGAGATAAGCGCGCATCTTCTCGTGTAACGCGTTCGAGGGAAGTAAGCCGAGAACTTAAAATTCGAGTGCGCTCCAAGCGTATGCCTCACTCGTAACTATCTCTCGTTTTTTTTTCCAAGTATTATATTCTCGTTTATGCATGCACCGGCCGATCGATCGACGTTGAAATTGGAGCGGCTATCGTTGATACTTACTTACGTTGGCTTTGCCGTACTCGTACACAAGGAAAATTTTCAACTTTTTCTTTTTGCAGTGGCATGCACATAAGCGCTGCGGCGAATATGTCACCCGACCAGACATTCGGATCCATTCGGTCGCTCTCAGTCACTCGAGAAGTCGCTAGTTTTCCTCTCTCGAGGACTCCCACACCGCCGCCTCAGCATAGGTAAGCCGAAATTCAAAATTCGAATCCACAAATTCATAATTGCACATTCGTGGACTGATTGATTAATTTTTGTTCCAGAACAATGGGTGTAAACAGCGAAGATCTGGAAAATCCAATAATTAGCGAGCCGAGTCCTCGACCGGTGTTACACAACGACAACGCGTCGAGCAATGCTGATAAAAATCACCATTGCACGATCGACGTTCAGCCGTTGCAGCAGCAGCAGCAGCAGCAGCAGCAGCAGCCGCAACAACCGCAACAACATCAGCAGCAACAACGCAAATCCGTTGTCATTGTTCTACCAAACGAGCAGCCAATCAACGCTTGAATCAACGCGTTAAGCGGCCAAACAACAACTAGCCCAGGCTCTGTTCGACGGCCCGTCTTTACTCCCCTACTCTTCGATTAATTTACACAAAAAAATTCGTTCGTAGCTTCGAAGACTGTTTTAAAGATACAATTTAATATACGTACGTGCGTTATTATACAATATTAATAATACTGCGTAAGACTGAAAAAAAAACAAAAAACGTATATAATCAAAGGAGCCTACGTTACAATTATGTAATTGTCGTTTCGCCTAATTGCTATGGTATCTCTGCTCTACGTGTGTAATGCATATACTATAAGGGAGAAGATTTCGCGAGGATGAGCAATTTTTAATCCAGATTAAAAACGGCCGTACTGTATGTTTCGAATCGAAATTTGCGTTTAAAATGTTGTGTTGCATCACGCTTGGAGTGATACAAAAGCGAATTTATTTGTACGCTCGGCGCGTCGACCTACGGCCGTAAAATCTCTTTTTACTTCGTTCATGTAATGATGTATGTGGATAGTTAAACCCTAGTCTTGTAAATATTCTTAATTATAACATTTATCGAACAAATTGCGAGCGAGGATAAACGTATCTTTTAAGTTTTTTTTTTGCTTTTTTCGTTGTACAACATTTCTCGTGATAAAGTGTGATTCGTTTTACGAATCAACCAAATGAAATGTCAAACAGGGGAAAAAATTGATCGTCTCGATTGTATCAAGAATCTCGCTCTCTTCGATATAAACATGTAAAATTAAGCTTTTAAGTTTGACAATACTTTGTATTAAATGTAATCGGTAACAAATTTCGACTGTTTCTTTCGAGCTAGCGTTGTGCGTTTATTTGTCACTTGTTTAAAGCGAGGAATTATTTCGTTTGCGTCCGTTGGACTAGAAAAAAAGTCAGCCAAGTATTAAACAAAGCGTATCAGCGAGCGTCGCCAATTTAAATCTAAAGTTTCTGAAAATTTTCGGGCTCGTGCCAAATAAAACACGCTCGACCTGCGACACACTACGTGCAAAAAGTTAAGATGGTGCAGGCGCGTGGCTATTAATTTTCATTGGTGTCAAACCGAGAGTAAGTTTTGGCTGCACGTAATGAGGTGTGAATATTTTTGGTCACAGCACGAAGACGTAATCGAAGAATCATCACGAAATCGTCATTTTTGTCTAGTTCTAAAATATCCTTGTCATGCAAGCAAAAGGGGAATGAAAAATGATTGCCAAATGACTACAGACTTTTTACTAAATGAAAAAAAAATTGCTCGATGTTGGATGTATTAACATTAAAATAGCTGTAACGTTAAAAAAATTGTATAATTAAATACCGAACTCGCGAATCGACGTCGCATTTTATTATATGTTTGAATTGAATGTGTCTCTCGTACACATGGTATCGTCACTTTCAGTTGTACATTGTTGATCTATTAATTTTTTTCAATTCTCAAATAATCGTGCAATAAATTCACAGTAATCTAGTTTCTACGATCGGTGAATTTAATTTTTAAGAAATCTATCCATAAGTATTAGCATATAAGTTTTGCGTTTAACGACGAGATTCCTTGCTTCGATTTGAACGATGTAACGTCCAATGCAATGAATATTTATTTAGACATACAAAAACTGCCAATGCGTAGATTTTGTCTGTCTTTTTTTATGACGTAAAAAGAGAGACGTGTAGGTAGAAGTTCCAAAGTTTTTATAAGTACAGAGAAAAAATTAGAAAAAAAGTATAAGTTTGCAAAATATATACTAGCACATTCCTGTACAAATTCTCAGAGATTCACTGTAACATAACACCATCGAATGATCATAGATCGAAAAAAAAATTTAATAACAATCATCGAAGGGATCATATATTATATTGAACTCTCCGGGAAGTCAGTGTGAAAATGAATTTTTCTAAACGCAATTTTTGTAAATTACCCAAAACAAAATTAGATATTTCGTGGTAATTGATCAAAAGAAGAGAATGCCTAAAATTATCAGAAAAATATTAAGTTATAATGTCAAAAACCGCGTGTAGAAATTTTCAATTTAACACTGGTTTTGGTATTTCTCAAACAATCATCGAGTATCATATTTTTCCATTTTAGTTTTCAAAAAAAATTAAAAATTAAATAATTGTTAACATTTTTACCGTACTGAGAAAATCGCACAATTATACAGAGATAATATGCATTTGATACAATCAAACTAAATCAGCTTAAAAATAATACTATTACAGAACCTATAGAGACTTCGATCAAATTGACACCATAGTTCATATTCATTTCTGGAAAAATTCATAATAACTACCCTCGGGGCTGCACAATATACAAAATCATCAATCATTATCGTGCATTATAATTATACAACCAAATTTTATGAAACTCGATGTATTGTGTGAGCAAACCTAATCTCACCTTTTGTAAATTATTAAGGAGTACTTCGATGAGGGTGATAAAATTGTATTATTAAATACATAAAATTTATTCATGTATTAATTAGAGAAAAAATGAAAAATTTCAAGTGTGCAATTATAACTTTTTAGGAATTAACTTGCAAACAAGAATGTAATTTATACGTTAATTTACAATGAAGAATATTGTACGAATAGTTTGTGATATTAGATTAAAGATCGGCAATATTGTTGGACAATTTTCGACGATAAAAGAAAACGAGTATCTGTTTTTTAAATTTTTCATTCAAAAATAAAGCGGCACAGGTGTAAACAGAAATAGTTGCACATTACGTTTTTCGAAAGCGGCAAATTGCGATAATGTTAAACTGCACTGCGCTTGCGTTAATTATTTCTAGCTCGTACAATGTTATACAATGCTTAATTCCATTTCCAGTTACATCGTTTCGACCTCATTATTGAATTATGCACACAAAAGCGATAAACGATCGTCTCATATGCGCATCATGTAATCTCCAAAGCTTCTGCTCTTTAATACTAATAGCTACTTCGAACAATGAAATCATCGTTACACGTTGATAGCTACTGAAAAAAGTAACCAAGCACGCTTTTATGATTATTATAATATGTGTATTCGAATCTTATAACACTATTCTACGAGATCATTATAAGCGTATAAATACATATACAATGTTTAAATATCATCGCTAAGATATATCTATCATCCTTGTATGGGCAAATATCACTGATTTATATAATTTTTTTTATTCACTTGTGTTTGCGAGGTGTACGATGATTCTTTTTGTCACAATAGTGAATCAAATTTTTAAGAAAAAATAAATAAAATGAATGCAAGCACGTGATTTATTGTCGTGTGTAAGATCTACAAAGCAAAAATATCATGCAATATTTGTTACCTACGAAAGGATCTTATGCTCCATATATTTTCAAATTGTACGTTAAGTAATATTCTTATGTCTATACCTATGTCTGTACATTTGGTCCATAGATAATAAAATGTTATGAAAACATTAACTTTTTCTCTTTTATGATCACTTTATTATGAACCATATATAACATTATTTATCAAAAATTTTAAAACGATAAAAAAATAATTGGAATTCCTGTCACGGAAATCTAATGTTTGTAAACTTCATTATAATATTATATTACAAATGACGTTTTATATAGCGTGCAACTATTTGTTGTGGTCTGACTTCCCATTGGCTCAAAACGTTCTTGGGTGGACAAACCTTGAGAAAAAAAAAGTTTTCAAGAACTCTCATTAAAACAGAGAATAGATATTTTCAAGTGTAATACCTGATCGCCCTCGAAACGATTAAGGAACGCCACGCAGACGATAGCCGCCTTGATGTTGGCCAGATTCGTCAAGGCGGAAAAGCAAGTGGCTTCCATCTCGATATTGCGAACTCCAGCATCGTGGAGCTTTTTCAAATACTCCTGCTTCGCGATCTCCGAGAAGTAGCAGAAGGCGCCGTCGCACCTGCCTTGGCCCTCGTAAAAGTCGTAGGAACACATGGTTTGGCCGCTGATCAAGTCGAAGCCGTCGCCGGGCTCGCTCAGCGACAGAAGCTCTTGTGCCAAATCCTGATCGAGTTTTGCCGCTCGCTGCATCTTTTCACCCAAGACGATTTGCTCGTAATAGGGCTCGATCATTTCGTTGACGGCTCCTTTGGATACGACGACGCTTCCGGCTTTGATGCCGATACCGCCGCAGGTGCCGATTCGGAAGAAGACCGGATTCTTCACTTTGGCATAGTGCATCAGTTTGATGATCTCGTGCAGAAGAATTTGCAGCGAAGGTACACCGATGCCATGCTGCAATTTTTCAATATTGCGAATAAAAGAACTACTTTCCTTCGTATCTACTTTTGGGGAAACCATGAGTTCTTACGCTTATCGATAGTATCGGTCCAACTTTGTACATCGAGTATCGGTACGAGTGTTCTTGCATGTCTTGAAATTTCGTACCCGGTGGTAGTTTGTCTTTTAATTCGGTCAATATGTATTTGGCAAAATGTTCCATGCGTTTTGGCGCGCCACCCATGCATACAAACTGCAATTCATTACGAGACAAATGTTTGCGTAAAAATTTATTATTAACATTTTTTTGTAATTTTTTTTTCATATTAAAATGCTTAATCTACTTGACTTAACAATACATGTTTTGATAAAGTGAAACGCAATACAAGTTTATCAATGAGTCAAGTGATCTAATTTAACTGCAATCGTCATATTTCTATTACTCAATGACTAAGTAAAAAGATAACTTTGTTTGCACAAATGTTTTAGTTTTCCAAGTAATCATTTTTTTTTTTCAAAATTTAAAAAATATTTTTGATATTTTATAATAAAAACTTACCTTGACGTCTCCGAACATTTTGACGAGATCATGGGTATTGGTACCAAGTCCGAGGTGATAAAGAATATCTCCATTCAATCTTGATAAATGTGGATTTATTAGAATCACCGTACTTTCCTCTTCTCTGATGAACAATTTTTCCAATTATACAATGTTTTAAAAATCAGTTTATGTTATAGCAGGTCTTAATAAGAGCCGAATAATATTATAGGCAGATATTAAGGTTTTGAATGAATAAGATATTTTTTCCCCCATACCACCCGATGATTCTGTAATAATCTAGGAATTTTTTAATCAAAAGAGGTTATGTCATAGAGAAAGTAATATTTTTAACAAAATATATGCACCCAAAACCATAAAAATTAAAAAAATTAATTACTGGAATTTTACGTAGCTTGCATACCGATTTAAAAATGTTCACGCTTGGGAAATGTAAGTGACGTATTGAAGACTATAGGAGTACAGTAGGCACCTGTTGTCAACCGGTCGCGCAGAAAAATAAACAAAAGAAGATGTAAATAAGGAAATAGCAAAAATAATATGTACCCATCATCGTCACCGCGTCCAAACATCTTGGGAAATGCAAGAGCGAAATTTACGAGCAGCGAAGTACAACTCGTACAGCCGATATATAAATCGCAACTTGGAACGCACTAAACTTGCGAAGTGGTTACCATACCAATGTGCTCTATAGGCAACGGAGTTGTATACGATGGCACGGCATGCAATGGCATGACACTGTCTGTCCTCGTCGTATAAGGTATATTATAGCATGTGCAGACTCAGCTCCCCTACCTATTCGCTCGCTCGAGCTTAGCTGCCGCTTGCATTTCAAATGTTGTTAATCAGACTCGAGAGCCACGTGGTCGCTTTAAACATTCATAAATTATACAAGATCTAAAAATATAAACCTTCATTATTTATTTATAAAAGCTAGTGCAAAAGTGATGAATGGTAAGCAATGAGAAGCAGCAGCGACTGCTGCTCGCAAGTGGCGCGGAAAAAATCTGAATAAAACATTCTCTGAGATCTTTGAAATTTCATTAAATTTATTATTTTTTTTTGTACCTTCTTATAATACCGTACAACGTCGTATCTCAACAAATCTTATTATCAATGCCTTGGTGTGTATCCCAAATTGGATTATGCAAACGCGATCGGAGTACAATAAATTTTACCTTATTTCTACAGCAAGGCCCTTTCAATGCACGAACATTTTTCATTCTCTTGATGTTCAGTAATGTTTCTTTGATTTATTAATTTTTTTTTATCATGTTATATATATATACCCTCTATATATGTACAATTTAACAGTTTTTAACAATCTGCTTCAGCGTCTGCATTACAATTTCTCGTCTCTTTAACGAACTTGTGGATTAAAATGTAATATAGACAAATATATTTTCGTAATAATAATATACGTAAGCACTTGGACTCGGAATGAAATTTTGTTTTTTTTCTTGCAACTGTTGTATTTTTATTATTATATATGATTAATAGTTTTTATATATGTAACGCATAATATTTTATATGTAAATATATACACTAACGTTCTTTTCTTCGTCGCAACAATGTAATATAATGAATTATGTAATCGAAGAATAAACACTTAATTCTTAGTATTTATTTTACGAATCTGCAGTGTTATATTCAGAATAACCGCAACTATACTGTGTATGATATTATATAGCAAAATTTTAATGCAACACAGATCTCATAATATATTATTACGCTCGTTTTTTTATTTTTATATTATGTATTGTAACAAATTTCAAACTAACTTTGATTAAAATTTTTCTCTCACAAGATATTTGATTATTAGCGAATAGAGAAAACAGGCAGCCGTCTTTATTTATATTTTCAATATATTGATAAATAAAAATCAATTTCGCTTTTCGGTATTTGGCATTTGGCAAGGGTGTGAACAGAAAGAGCTGAAAAATTGCAATAGATTATTAAAGTATCACAGATATTACATGTATATAAGATTTAATTATACTTGTATGACCTTTTGAGCGAAAATTAACTCTTCGAACCGAAAACCCGAAACGATCTCTCCAAGTATTTTTCACAGATTCGATAATGTGATATTGTTTTTGAGAAATCGATTTCAGTGGGTTTTTATCTTAACATCACAGACCTTTTGTCGTTGTGTACGCCTCGTTCATTAACCTTATGCATACATTAAGCTGATTTTTTTTCCTTTTTCTTTTTTCACTAAGTATTGCTCTATTGTAGTGCTGTGTTTTTTTCTCGCAAAACCTGAATATTGCCTTTTGTGTATATTTTCTTTTGTGCAGATAAATAATCGTGATATTTTTAATATTCTATGTTATTTTTGCATTTTAGTGACATTTACACATTCATTTCGATGGTCGTACATATATAGCATGCTGTTTGGTCTGATTATTTAAATACTTTTATTTCAATGTTTTTTTCTTTTTTTTCGTAGCATTTTTACTATAATAATTATTTCAACAATCTCTTAAACCATTCCTTTTTCTAGCACATTAAAAAACCCTAAAATTTCATTGAATTTTTGTCTACTCAGATACTAGGTCTTGATACTTCATCAAATTAAAGCATATTGCATCTCTATGTTCATGTGACTACCCGCAACATTTGTACATATTTTTCAATTATCATTCTTAATATTCATTTTCTTATTATCTTATGTAGTTATAAGTGGAACTTGATTCAATTCATTTTTTTTTAATTTTCTCTCCTTTGAGAAAAGTTGAGAAATCTCTAGGCATTTTTACAGTTTCGTTTCAACTAATAGTTGAGTTGTCATTAGTTTAATAAGTGTTTTTCAATATCAGCAGTTGTTAATCAACTTCAAAATTTAATAAATATTCATTATTAAAGAGGGATTATTTAATTAATCTCATTAACATGAGAGTATTAATGTAGGAATGTCGTCAAAAAGTTATAATTTCACCAGACGATGAAAACACATTTTTAAAAAATGATATTTTTTATTATAATCAAGAAAAAATAATTGACAAACAAGATTATTATTCAGTGTAAAACGGCACAAAATTTCGGCAACAAGTTATTATTGTTTGAATATATGTAATAATTTCATTTTGTAAGGCAACATTCATAAAAATATGTTTTGTTTTTATTTTTTTTAAAGTGACGCGCTGTCAGTCCGAAATTCTTGATAAGTATCGGATATCATAATTGAAATGTGTAAACAGTTAGTCTCAAAATAATTTCAAATAGTAGGCGAGGATATGGGATCATTCTCAAAACGAATAACAATGAATAATTTATTGTTTTCAATTTGTACCAAATGCGTTATAATATAATAAAAATCTTAAACTAAAATATGTTTAAAAAATGAGGGATGAGGCGTAATTTAGAAATTAATACCCCTTACAGCCCAGTGAAAAAAATTCAACTACACATATATGATACGTCAGCAGTGTGTCGCATTTTTAAAATGCACCATTTTGTATACTAAATATCGCAAAAACACAATACTGAATTTGCTCTGGACTCTTGGTACGCGAAAAGAGTTCTCGCTCAGAGCCATGAAGTTACTAAGTTGAAATCAACTTTGCGCATTAGGTTATTTAAACTAAAACACGTAGATCATTTGTAATGGAAAAAATTGATGTAAATAGCGAAGGAAAATTTGACTACGTGATATCCAGAGAGTCGTGTCCGCGGCCAACTCCTACATTCAGCCGGTTAATGTGTCTAATGCAGCCTTTTGAAGAAGGTTTTTTTTGCAGCGACGATGGCCTTTACTCGTAATTTTCCGACTCCTGCTGTACGAGCTTAAAGCGTCTTGGACTCTTGACGCAGATGTTGCCGTGACTGTCGGTCATGTTGAGGCGACCTTTGCGCTGCAGGTAGCGCCTGATGTAGCGCGACACGAGGGTCTGGGGGCGCGCTTGCCACTCGTTCAGCACTTCTTTCGGTGCGCAGACCTGTCGACGAAGAAGAAAAAAAATATTACATTCGCTCCATCGATGGGAGAGCTCGCGAGCTCGAGTAAGCCTCTTACCTGATCGCCCTTGAAGCGATCGAGAAGCGCGACGCAGATGATGGCGGCCTTGATGCCAGCGAAGTGCGTGAGGGCGGCGAAAGCCGTGCTCTCCATCTCGATGTTGATGACGCCGGCGTCGAGGAGCTTCTGCATGTACTCCTTCTTGTCGTTCTCGTCGAACTCGCAGAAGGCCCCGTCGAGGCGGCCCTGGCCCTCGTAAAAGTCCGACGTGCACATGGTCTTGCCCGAGACGGTGTCGTACGGGTCGTCCGCGTGAGACAGAGCTTTGAGCTCGCGCACGAGTTTCGCGTCGAGCGTCGTGGGTCGGCACACTTTTTTACCCAGGACGTGCTGTGAAAGGCAGGCAAGATTGAATGTGTATACGTCAGCTGAGCTATTAGCTGCTCTGGAAAAATTTCCGCTCGTTACCTGCTCGTGATACGGATTGAGCATCTCGTCGACGGCCTCCTCGCTGATGACGACGGTACCACCCTCGATGCCAATACCGCCGCACGTGCCTATCCTGAAGAAAATTGGATCTTTCACCTTGGCGTGGTACATGAGCTTGATGATTTCGTGAAGTAATATTCCTATCGACGGTATGCCCATGCCGTGCTGAAATCGAATTAGAGCGACTGCTTGAATATTGAGTTGCGAGATTTCATCCCCGACGAGTTCGACTTTTCACAAATTGCTTTTACACACTTGATGAAACAATAAAAGCGACTGACAATCGGGAAACTAGATTAAAAATCAATTATCGAAAGCCCGAATCATTAAACTTTTATCGCTTTTACCGAACCTATGATTGACTAAATTGACACACCCAAATGATGTAAGTAAAGTCACCCTTGCAATCACAAATAGAATAGCAAGAATAATTTTTCCTAATACTCACGCTAACGCAGAGCACGGGTCCAACTTTGTACATGGAGTAGCGATAGGAATACTGGCTGATGTCGTGCAGAGCCGTGCCGGCTGGAATTTTGTGACCTATTTCGGCCATTATGTACTCGGCGAATTGTTCCATTCTCTTTGGTGTGCCGCCCATACAGACGAACTGCAAAAAGGGAGATATGGGCGTTATTAAAAAAAAAAAGAATCATAATAATAACAATGACGATGATTATAGAAAGAGAAAAAGGTCGACACAGTGCGTTTATTTTATACATCATGTGCATCACGCGCTGGTTGAAATTGTTGCGCGTGCACGAGTACATTACATTAGACGCACTATATACGTCAGACGGGATTCATCATCTCGAGTTAAATCTACTTGCTGCTCGGAATACATCACGTGTTCCACACACTGCAGCTGCACACAGCACGAGGTCACGGTTAATTCAACGCCTGGTGACTATTATATGTACACACCATTGCGTAATGGCCGATATCGGCTATCTTTTTTTTTCTTCTTTTATCGAAGCTAATTTTTTCCCCTTCGAAAATTACAATTTTGACGCGCAAATTATCGCGCTCGCGCAGTCTCCAGTCAGCGATTTACGATAGCCAACGCGTATACAAGCGTGGAAGGTATGCCTATAAGGACGTGTGGTGGTAGTGAAATAAATATGAACTCGTTACCTTGACGTCGCCAAACATCTCGACGAGGTCGTGCGAGCCGCTGCCGAGCGCGAGGTGGTAAAGAATATCCTGATCCATGAGCTCGATGTTGGGATTCCTGAGGCGCACCGAGCCATCTCTGTATCTGTAAAAATTCGAGTCACACGGAGTCGTTAAAATTTGCTTGTATATCAGCGTGTTTTTTATTGCCTGGTTTTTTGGGAGACACGATCGACGTTTATTTACATATAATTTTGCAAGCCTCGTCTACTCCGCAAAACTCGAGATGTTGCGTTCGTTGGTGTTTGAGCGGGAGACCAGTCGCCCGCGCGTCACTCGATTATTCAATTGCCTCGAATTGATATAAGCGCGCTCGTGCGTGCGCGCCGAGCTTTCAAATGCTTATGGGATCATCTCGTCCTACGCGATTGTCACTGATTCGTCGGGTGAAAAATTGCGTCCACCCACGCGTTCCTCTCTGCAATACCTTTGTTTACGAAACGAGTCGTTGTCAAGCTGTTACAGCGAACAATCGATATTTCTATGATTCATACGACAACATTTGATAAATCCAGCCAAGAATAAGCTTTGGCGGCGGTGAAAAATCAATGCCTGGACGTATTGCGATATTATTCAGAAACGCAGTGCGTATCGCACAATTTTCACAATTGAATCACGAATGGATGGCTAATTTCCACGGGTAAGTATGCACTCGACTGCCACGGCGAGCGAAACGTAATACAAATTTGATTATGAGTTTGCGGCTTGGTAATAAGAGACTTTTTGCGCTTGCGAGATCTTGAGCGTAGGAGAAAAAAGTCGATACTCAAGGCTTGATCGCTCGCAATCGATACTGCCGACGCAATCCCAATGGAGCAAGGAAAATAAGAGCAAAAGAAAAATCTCGAGAAAATACCGAACGGGGCTGTCGTGTCTCGACTCGTCGTGTTGCTTCAGCTGCTGCTGTTTGTCCTCGGCATGGCTAGGGCCGTTGGAATTTTTGCAGACGACTTTTGCCGGTGGCTCGCCGTTCAAGACACCACCGTCCGAGTCGACCGGAGGTTTCAACTGGCACGAGTGATGGTGATGATTGTTGGCGTGACCCGAAACTTTGCGTTGCTCGCCAACGGCGCACGTACAGGTCGGCATGTTTCGCACTGGCCAAGATCGACTCGATCACGCACTCTGAGATAATACAAACACTGCGCGGACTAAGAGAATCGAACTCTGCTGGGCGTCGATACGGATCTGCGGTGAACTTTACTTTAAGCAATAGTTGCTCTCGCAGCTCAGCTTTTATACGTATCCCTTCTTCCTTGCTGATTCTTCAAACGAATAACTTCCCACCATTACGCACGACACATGTACACGAGTGCGATCGTGCCTACATAGACTTGTACGCGCGCGAACGTTCCCCTCTCTAGCTCCCCGTATGCCTTCTATTCTCTTCTCGTGTGCGTATTTTTACTGCAACGCTACAGTTGCCAAAGAAGGGAGCATTGCATGAGGCAAATTTACCGGTCTAAGGTATTTATGCAGGTGACCGGTCATGACCATCCCGTGTACTTGCGCACCGGACAAAAAAAAATCATCTTTCAATGGATGAGCTTGAATTGGAAATTTATTGCATCAGCCTCGGCATTTATTACGTTTGAGATTTTAAAAAACTGGATGGAATATTTTTGCTCATCTCATTGACCGTACTCTGTAAACAGAGAAAGTTTTTGTTGTCGTTTTTTCGATCCAAATATCAATGGCCCGAGCGAGCCCGTAGAATACGAAGCGTAACCCCGAAAAAAATCTCTAATTACTCTGTCTGGGTACACGCCTTCGCTTTTCGTTGACTCATCCTTGGGACTACGTGCCATTTATAGCGTAACTAGTTTCATCATAAAGTTAATTTCCTTTTTATTTATAATAATGCCACTTATCAATTAAAAAGTTTAAAGCGATTAAAACTTTTCTTTTGTGAAAACTACAAAATTTCGCATTTTCTGTCTTTGTATATCTGCTTTTTTTTATAAATCTATTTTTTTAATTATTCCATGAAGGAAAGCTTACAAAGGAGAATTACGTTGTTACTTTACAAAAGCCAAAGAAAACTTGCTGAAAGCCGTTTGTTATAAATGCTTAAACATTTTCTAGGGCTTTTTGAGAAAGAACAAATTATAGCATCAAAGAGAGACTAATGACTAAAAAAACTATACGAGTATTAAAGACAAGAAGAAAAAAAACGACGAGCCCCCACGTATAACACGTGTTACCAAGTGGACGCGTACACTTTCTTTTCATATTCATGTACGTGACGTGCCCCCAAATTTTGAGCTATTCAATAAACATGAGGTAAAGCCGAGCCTCGGGAAAGTTTCGAAATCTTGAATGTTTGTAAATACCAGCTGATTTTGTCGTCTCATCGAAAAAGCCAATCTATCTATACAATTTTTCTGCTGCTTGCTACACGTGATTAAAACGCGAAGGCATCGATGTACACTGACCCGCTGCAACGATGAATGATCAAAGTTAATCGCCATGCACGCTTAAATGCGGCATGTATACAAACATTCACTTATCGAAACATGTATACTATATGCACACTATACTAGCACAACTTCCGGGGAATTTTTTTTGCATGTCAGCGATGTGTGGGATGCCCCAAGATCAACTGCTGGCCACGCGAATCTCCGCTTTGCGCTGCGTATATTACTCGATTTGTTGGGTAATTCTTTCTCCGTTGGCACAGATAATTTACGCAGTGAATTGCAATTATAATTCTTAATTTGAAAGGCTTATCGGTAACTCTTATCAATAGGGATACTCAACATAATGGTAAACTCGTTGAGTTGCGTAATTTACAATTTTTATATTAAATTGCTCATTCTTATAAAAATAATTTTTTTCTCGGTTATATTTTCGGAGCTTTTATTAGATAGAATATTTCAAGAGTTCATTATGAAAGATTTATGACCGGACTTTTTGGGGCAAAAACGTTTAATAATATGAAAATCCAACCATTTAAAATCTTCTCGGATAGCCGACATCACGTCCCGCAAAAAAATTGACTTTTTTTTGTAAAATATTTTCGTGGTCTCTATGATTTAATACAAAGAAATGTCGTCTGTTTTCTGTTCTACTTGTGTGTATCATCGACCTCGCGCACACCTATATGTTTGCACGAAAGAAACTGTAACACCTTTTTATCTTTGCCAGCTTTTTCGAGCTTTCGGGTAGCAGCACGGAATCTTTGATACTCCCTGTCTTGCTCTTAAAAGAGATGCCTTTTTCAAACTTTAATACCAGTAGAGGCGTCCTTCGCGATGTAAATTTTTCGTACTTTTATTGAAAAATCGTACTTCGATGATTATTATCCACAAGGGAGTAATACACGGAGGATACAATAAACGATAAATTTCGGATACCAAGCATACCGCGAGCCGCGTATAACACAGCGGAGGCGGCCGCGGATCCATATGCTAGGCTTTATTTCGCAGCGAAGAATGTACCTTTTTACCGCAGTCCGTAGAAGCTCGTGCGAGCTCTTATACACTCACGCAGGCACGAGATATGTCTTCATACTCTATTTCTCTGACGTCAATATAGTGCAGAGCTTTTTTCCGTTTAGCTTGGTTTTTTTTTCCTCCGCGTTGAACACACGTACGCGCGCGCGCGCATTCATTTATAAAATGACGATAAATACTTTGCATGACAATGGCTGCTGAACATCAACGTGACAGGCCGAAATTAGCTTGAAAATATAAATCGATATACAATTGTCAATTAAGTGCGAGCTCGAGAGTCGGGAAAAGCGGGGAGGAAGGGCCGAGGTAAGCTCTTATCTCAACGTGTTCGGCTGACGGCTCGCGCATCAAGCACCCCGACGAGTACATAAACCCTAACCATCGAGACAAATGGAGATGACAAGAGGAGCTTTGTGTTGGCAGCTTCGAGGACCGAGCATATAGAATGGCAATAGTTAGGCGTACATTGGCCGACGGCTTCGAGTGCAGCAGCTATGTACGATATACACAGCCAGGCTGGAAAATCGATCCTTAAGACAACGCGCGCGAAGCGGCTCACGGCTTTAACGAACGCAAAGAGAGATACGGAGACCTTAATCTTTTCGAGCTTGCATATAAATACCTTTTGGAGCCTTATCCGCCCGCGTCCGGAAACGACTGCTGTGCTTCGTCGCACGTCTATGCGCGTGTTTACATTTCGTCGTTTATATACCATCGCGGTAGAGCTTGTCTAATTTTATTTTCGACTCAACGCAGACATGCAAAGATCGATGCGGCTAAGCGAGTCGCGAGTGTACGCGCGTCGCGCTTCGGTACCACGCTGCCAACGAATCCGAGTAGTCGTCGCGATCGATGGAATTTATCCTGCCTTATAGCGCGCCAGATTAATGATTTTACGGATGGTCGCACGCGCGCTCGAGCCACCCGCATGTATAACAGTATTATATGTCTATGCGGCCGAAGCCAATCCAGCTATGCACGCATTTTGGCTTTACCGTTCATGTTGTCGAAGAAAATTTATGCTCTGATTACCCGATCGAGGAATTTTTCAGTTTAAAAGCGCGTCGTAAAAAGTGAGCGATCGATTCGGTGCCGGGGATGCAGGAAGTTACGATGATCGCTACGATCGAACTCGATAATTCACGTCCCTGATTGATATAAATTCGAAAAGTTTTTCCAAATAAATCGACAAATAATAAATATGATTACATGTACGTAGTCATCGATTGACCTAGAAAAGCAAAAGCAACATCAGTCAGCGAGAGCACGAGTCTTTGTGATGGTACGCGCGGCTCCATTTGAATCGCGAGTTCAAACTTTTGTTTACCGCGAGCTCGCATTTGTATAATGTTAAATGCCTCGACAGTTTCAAAGGGCTAACTTACAGTGTTGCGAGAATTTGCTTTGCCTCGAATTTAAGTGATATTTCGCTGCGAGAGCTGCCGAGTAACGAGCTTTCATCGCGCTCGAGCTGCCGTGGTATGGTGTGCACGTGCGATATGCGCGCGAGATCGATTTTCCATTCGGGAAAACTACGAGCTGCAGGAAATTTACATCTTCGATTAAAACTTAATTCTACACAAACGATCGGTAAAACGTTTTATTTAGCTCAATAAACTGACTGATTGCGTGTCGGTGCTGATTTTCATACGAGAGTTTCCAACTTGACTAATGCAGCGAGCCAAAAAAAATATCCACCGAGCACTCATTATCGCGGCGCTCGCAGCCGATGCAAATTATGTAAGGCAGCTGAGAAAGAAAAATAAAGAGGAAAAAAGTTTGCCGATGCAGCGTAGAGCTCTCGTGTATATACACAAACAGCAGATCGATAAATATCTATGTACATACTAAGCCGATGCTTATAGTCACGATTAACTCCATTATGCATGTCTTGCCGAGTATCGATTCAGGATCATAAGCCACATTCGGCTCCTCGTTACGACTTTCGCAAGTTGATACCTCAGAGAATATATTTATTGCCCCATGTAAATACTGCAACTTACCCTGGCCTTTAAAAAATGAGAAAAGAAAAGCTCTATATCCAATTGCACGTTGAGCTATAATAAGCATTTCTTTATCATAACTGAGCGATTCGAGAAAACGAGAGAGCGCCGTCAACGCATTGAAATTAATTTTATTCGAGATTAATTCAACCCCGCGCTTTATTTATGAGAAAGCAAGAAAATGAGAAAGAGACAGAATTTAATCAATATTACAATGCGATAGCAATTAAATCATATTTATTATTTACTTAGTTGAAATATTTTATTCCTCGAAAAATTACTCCAGGATGACTGCGAAATATCTCGCGTAAAACTTTAATTGACATGTTTACTCGTCCAGTAAGTTCATTCGGTCAATTCGATCCAAATGAAAAACAAAGCAAAAATTCAGCGAACCGAAATCCTTTCCGTTTTGTCCATTACGTTCTACTATTGATGAATAAACAGCCAACAATCGAATTGTTTTGTTTTGAAATTGAGATAGGAAAAGCACGAAAGCTGTTTAAATTTTTAAAAGTACAATATGCTCGAGTTGTCCATTATTTATGATACACCAACGTCACAGCTGGTAACATAAGTTTGTCATAGCTAGAGCTACTTGTATTCATTCGACATTCGCTGGAATCTAGAATTTTTGCACGTCTACAGAAAAAATGTCAGTTGACCTTATTTGAATTTGAATGGCTGAATTATTAGTCAAGTTCGGTTGAAAAAGTTTCATTGAAACAGATGCAGGGGAATGATGAGTTCGATAAAAGCTTCGATAGAGCGAGTATAGGACGATATCGCGAGAGATAGTTTCATTCATACGTCGCATGTTTGGCCTGAACATCTGATCGAGACACAGAAGGCAAAGGGAGGGTCAGGGAGGAATGAAAGTTGCGAGCATTGTTTGCCTCCGAGTATGCGTGTACTTGTCAGTCTTTCCGAAGTTTGCCTCGACTCTATTCGTGTACTCGTGGTAGAGCTTTTAAGCGCGGGAAAACTTTTCTCATGCATCCGTTCCCGTTGTCTAGTTACCGCCTTACGCATAAATCCTCCTTTTTTTAGCTTTTTTCTTTTTAATTATAGCTCTCTCGAATCGATGAGCTTTAAAAATAGGCGAATCGCGTAGAGATCCATTTGAATGATTGTCGCGAGAGCCACGGCTGCAGCACACAATGAGCTTGCGAGAGGCCGAACACTAGTGCAGCATAGTAGACGCATAGTTACAACGATACAGCGCAGAGTGTACGCGACATCCGTACGGCAGCTTGTGACCTGATTCGGAGAAAATCCACGATCGGCGAGGGTAAATCAGTTACAATCGCAGATTAAACTATCGCTTCTTGGGTTCGTCGCTGCTTCGAGCAACGATGCACGATTTTGTAAAATAAGGTGGAGATTTACTTACTCGTCGATCTCCTCGTCCTCGAGATGCAGACTCATGTTCCTTGGACACAACTCCAGCTTGATCTATGCGTGTGAATCGATGAGACACACAACAACAATGCACAGAAAACGGAGATCGAGTCTCGTTAAATAAGTAAGGAGTAATCAGCGAAGCTAAAACACAACGACCGATCCTTCCGAGGATAAAGCTGACGAGTTTTATAAATCCTTGCGAGGCTCTAACGTGTTGGCGCGTGCACTACGCATGCAGGAATATATGCAGGTATTAACGTATGTCGAGCGTATGCGCGTACAATTCAGAGAGCCCAATGGAAAAGGTGTAGCGTAGTCGCGAGCTTGTGCAGTGCATGTGTCGATTATAGCTTGTACGGCGACCGACTGACTCCTGTGTGCCTAGTGTGGCCTGTCAATGTGTGCAGCAAACTCGTCGTCGCAAGCTTCGTTGCGTGTGCGCGTTGGAGCTTTACGTGTTTCTCTTACTCTCTCTCTCTCTCTCGCCCTCTTTTTTCCTCCCTATGGCGATACGTGTGTGCGTGTGTGTGTGCGAGCGAGTGAGACGACTCTCTCGTGACCGTGCTGTGCATGTGGGTGTGCGCGCGCGGGGCTTCCCGAGGATGTCTCTCTTGCACTGAGGCCAGACAGCGTGGCGTGCAGCGATGCGCCTGCGTCAGCGCGAAGGATTCCGCGCACTCGACGACCAGGACATAAGCTTCGTGTTTTCCTCCTTCTTTTTTATTTATCGTGCATTTACATCGGCCCACTGTTTACTTTTCATAAAAGCTTTTCATTTGATTTTCTCAGCAAACACCGCTTTTTTGCTCCGAAAATTCGGTGTGAAATAAAAATTAAAAGTATTAATGTTTAACTACTTAAAGGGAGGGGCATGTTGTCAATAAGTTCATCGCTTCGTCGTTTACAATTTTTTTTTTCATTAATGTATATTATTTATTTATAAATAAGTTAGAAACATTGATTTGTTTTTATCGTGAGTTGCTTTTTAGGTGTTTACATTTTTTACATACAGAAAGAATACCCAATCGCTCTCAAAACATCGTACTTTAATCAATTTTAATATTTTTTGTTTCTATTACATTTGTGCTTGGATTTTCAACTTTCTCGTTTTCATTTTTTTTTTTTCGTACCGAGACAAAGAATCGTGTGTTTCTCGTGTACTCGTTTTATAATATTTTTACGTTCTCATGGTGATCGATTTTACATCCACGCAAACGAGAATCGATTTTATTTATTAATTATTTTGTTTTGTAGCTTTGAGAGTTTGTTCGAGCCTACTTACGCATTCGCACTCGCAGTCACGCACGCTCACGGCTTTCATTTTTACTCAGACTCTCTTATACTTTTATAGCAAAACCAAAATTTAATATAATAACCTTTTTCACCCTGGCTAACTAATAATTTGATAGGTATCAAAGGTACTTTCCTTTCGTCGTATCAAATCCATACGTGATTAATTAATTTCGCACGACTTTGAGAATCCAAACATTTACAGTATTTTCCCGAATGCCAAGACTAGTTTCATCTTTTATTTTTTAATATAATATCGCACACGTCACAGAAACAGAAGATCAACGTTTGCAAGCATTTTTTTTTCTTCATCTAGAAACATATGGAGAAATTTTTTCCAGCCAAGTCACACAGTAACTGGGACAAAATCATCTCTATATATCAAGTATAGGTATACACACTTCCACAACAAACAACGCTCCTTCTTTTTTCATTTATAATATAGACTTTATCATTTCATGACAAATTCGTTTAGTAAAAAAAATTTTATTCGTCTTTCCTCGGCATCTCTCTATATGCATTGTATAATAGTAATTAATTTATATTTATGTATTTGAGAGTTGTTTTTAAAAACGATCGGGCGCAAGCACTAGTTCCAAACATTATTTGGCAGCATTCATCATTCGATAACAAATTATTTTATTCATATTCAGGAAGATTTTACGAAAAAATGATGTGCCTACTATCGTTCTCATGATCTTTTATAATTTTTTTATATAATATTTTAGAAAAATTCATTAAGTAATTAGATTTGGGCCCACTACACATAGTATGTTATTTCATCAAAATGTATGAAGTATTGCACAATGATAAAATGACTGCACGCGCTTTTTCCCACATTCATACCCGTAAAGATGAGATTCAAGTAGAGATTCGTCAAATTCCAAGTTCCTAATTATTCATATGCGCACGTAATATTTAGCTCATCTGCTTGACCGTTTATATATTTCGTTTGTTCCAATAGCTCACTTGTAAAATTCATTTATGAATGATAATATTTACACTAGTCCATGTCTCGTATTTTTGATTATAAAGTTTGCACGTTGCAAAATGAAATGATAGCAGGACTTGACAGTTTGAGATTTTTGTCTCCATTGTAATATCATATCATTTTTTCTCTCTTAATTGCGTATATATAAATCGATACATCGGTATATACTTATTACATATTGATCTATATGTGTATAAGAAATGTGTCTGTGATACAGGACGTTTGTTCGTCGTCGTAGTCATTTTAATTTTAGTCAATTTAAGAATTGGTTTATCCATCGCTATTTTTTTTCTGAACAAATTGTTAAAAATTTTGAGCATCGCGTATTAGTCATATTCATTCTAAGCTCACACACCGATCGTTCAAATCCTTGGGCCACAAAATACTTATTTATAGCGTTCGAACTTTTCGCACATTATTTTTTATTCATACATTTCTAGAAATAATGCGAATTTTCCAGTTTGATGTAACTATTTTATCATATACGTGAAGATGCTCGTATAAATTTACAAGAGAAATTATCGCTGAGCGCTAGAGAGAGATAAAGAGAAAGAGTAAGTACAATTAAGTTCATTAACACATTTATACGTCTTACACATTTTGCTTTCTCAACACATAGTTTTTAGGAAAGTAATCGGCCCGATGTATATGTCGCATTTTTTGGCGCTATGTGACTGACGAATTATATCATATTTTGTATCTCGCTTATTACAAACGATATACGTTAATTATAATCGAGAATACGGGCAGTGAACGGTTGGTTCATGATGCATACAGTTTCCATCATTTTCCTTCCGTTTTTTTTTCTTTACTTTATATAATATGTACAGCAGGAGGACCGCTTTACAATTTTCGTACTTCTTGACACGCGCCATCATTCCACAATACAAACAAAATACGAAGATAACTTTTCGCTTAAGAGCTATTTATGTTTATGGTGTTTTTTCTACGCGAATGTGTCGCACGAAATGTACATGAAAAAATTGTGTTAACGGCTTGACGACTTTATGATTGGGTATCGATTTCTCATCAGCCAAAATAATAATACTTTTTTAAACTTACAAATGCATGGTACGATAACGTTTAAAAGTTACATTTTTTATTGTCATCGAGATGACGAGCATATGATCTTTTTTCTGTTTTTGTGGCTTATGTCGAGCAAAAGACACTAAGAAATTTTTAACAAACAAGATGCAAGTTGTTTTGGAAATTGGTCCGTCATTTTCAATTAATAATGTACAAAAACATCGTGAATTCGCATTCATTCTTGCATATAAAAGTTTTTAGCAAACATAGTTTCAATATAAATATTGTAAAAAAATCAGCAGTGACAAAGCGTACAAATAATCATCCAAAAATGATGTTTGCTTCTTCTTACAAAACAAAAAAACTCATTCAAGCCTAAGAAGCTTCGTTCGTCTTTTAATATTTTTGCTATGCGCTATCATATTCTCAAAAATGTGTAAAAAAAATTTTGTTTGGTTTTTCATTTGAATAATAAAATCAATATAGTATGTGAAAAATTTATTATTCGTTGTTGGACATGGTTCAGGACTATCAGTAACGACCTTCGGTTCTCTTGCATGAAATGTAGCGCTTAGCTTGAAAAATCATTCAAAATTTAAAATGCATTTCTTAACATCTAAATATCATTTCATTACCAGTTGGAATTAAAAACAAATACTTTTCAATGCTTAGTCTCAACTGCATGTATTTTATGGCATAATTTACGTACGTTACTGGAATTTTTATACATTGGCAAGACTTACGAGGCAAAACACATTCTGCATTACAATTGAGTGAAAACATGAAATCATATCATAGGATGTGAAAGGAGCTTTTGGAGCAAAAGGTAAAAAAATTTATTTTGGAACACTGTTTTCTACAGGCTCTGTATATTTGATTATTTTCTCGTCATTCGATTGATTTAAATAATAAACGTATAGAAGATTAACAGAATTCAATAATGAGATCTATATTATAATGAAACAAATATAAACATAAAATTTTCGTTAATAACATCTAGATATTATGGATAAAGTTATGATTATCTTAATTTGTAAAAAATAATCGATCAAACTGACCTGAAGCATAGCAATACCTCACGACTGGAAATTAGGTAGTACTTTTTATAGTATAGAGGCATTGATTCTTCTCTGTATCTCAAAATGTCTCGGTTATTTTTTATACCATCACGAAACTTTTTTTATTACTAAACTGAAACTCTTTACTATTTTCAAATAAAAATGTACGTAAATTGACACAAAAATGCAGAAACGATTGATAGGTATTAATATGTACTAGTTTAGTACTCCTTTAATATTTTATAATAAAAAGGTTTTCCACCATCGTACACACGAATTTTATGTAAAATAAATCCTGCGTTGGATTTCATTTAGAAAAGAACTCAGCTTTTCTAGGAAAATTTTTATATTACATGACAACTTATTGGTATAAAACAAAAATAAAATGACAAAAAGGAAACGTGATAAAAATACGCCACAGTAGAAAATGGCACTAGAATTGCTGTCACTCGCCTCACAGACTGTAATAAATAGCAAAAAATAAGTTTCTTGCACCGATTTTCCTATTATTTTTTTCACTCATTAATTTATTTTTCGTTAATTAATTTTCATTTAGCTTATTATTGATGAAAAAAAATAAATAAAGCTTTATATTGCATATTTTATGATTATATATCATTATTTCGTATGTAAAGTTCATTCTTTCATCGCTTTAAATTTTTTCTTTTATCATACATCGTAAAAATTTCAAAAAAACCAAAAATAATAAAAAAAACATATTTGCCGTATTTCTGGTAACTATCAACAATACGTTCAATGTAATGTTATGGTCATTTTCAATGCATTTTTGAAACGCAAACGTTTTTTTCTTCAATTTTATGTTATTAAAAAAGTTATTTCATATAAAGTCGCGAGGATTCGACATACCACATGGACAGTCAGTGGCAAAATGCGCATTATGTTTGAAAAAATTCCTTTATCAGTAGTCGATTATCATTGATAAACGCTCATTTCTGTTGTTGATACTTTTAAAATTACATGCCTATTATATTTTTCTATTGATGTATCAATACGAATAAGTTTCTTCTCAATCTTATATAATTTTTTTTAATCCTCCATATATATAATCTATTTTGTATACATATTGATTCATTTTATATATAAAAAAATTAAGTTGACATCTCAGTCAACCAAATTCAATGGTTTTCCCCATCATTTTATTTCCATTTATTTTATTAATCGTATATATTAATATTTTGTATATTTTTTGTTTATTTAAGCTAAGCTATATAAAAAGGTAACAAATTCAATGCATTGGATTATGAAAAAGTAGATCGGTTTCACCGGTTTTTATATATTTGTTTGGATATACGATTATTTTTCTGTGTGTGTGCGTGTTTTTTCTTTTTTACGTCTCTTTTTGAATATAAGGGAGAGGCCAAGCGTCAATTTTGTTGTATATTCCATCATTTATTTATCATAGTATATGTTGTAATAATATAACATTTAGAGACTGTTCCGATTTATTTTCCTTCATCCAATGGTTTTCGTTCGACACGTCCTTTATGTATATATGCGTCCAGGCAATTTGTCCTTTTTTTATTTATATGGCATCATCGCGACTAGAGTAATCGATGCCACACAGAACTCTCGGACACATTCTTTTATTCTACATGTACACAGGCATTTACACCACACAGACACAATATATAATATTACGCACGCACGCGCACCTAAATAACGGACTACACGCACGTCCTTATGTGTGTAGTCTTTTACGGGCATAGACCCATACTCCTTTGAACACAACGAACGCACTATGACCTTTTGTCAACTTGTTTATCTCAAGTTTTTCTTATATAATTTATTTATAAATAGATATTTCATATACACAACTTCACATGAGAGCTAGTTTTGTATGTATAAATGTATATTAGAAAAAAGAGTGAAAACTAGCGCAATTATTTTTTCTCCGTTGCTTCCACATTTGGTTACACGTAAGAAACGTCTACGCCAATTTTCGTTCGTCGTCTCAAACGTTCATTTTTGAAATTGCGCCTACAATCGCGCACTCGCACTTACACACTCACATATACACACGCACACACACAAACATACATACACACACACTCTTTGGGTGTGGTGCAGGCTGCTGCTGCTGCTGTTCACTACCATCACTTGACGGCGAATTCGTTAAGCTTTCGAACGGAAATACCCTTGGACTAGGTTGATGGTCGACTTGCGCTTTTACGCCAGCACCGGTGTCAACGAACTCGTCTTCTTTTGGACGAGCGGACGGGCCCGGAGACCTGGTTCAAATTTGGGCGTTTTCTTGTGTACCTGGAGCACTGCTGCTGCTCAGCCGCCACTTAAACTTTTGAACGTCATTTTAATATACTCGCAACGATCAAGGCCTGACGATCTACACCAAGTTGTATTCCTTGAGATTCGACTGCAGAATCGTGTCCTTTACTGCCGCAAAAACGAATCGAATGTTTTCCGTATCTGTGAAATATAATATGCGGCGAGTTAATAAATATTATATGTGAGCTTTTCTTTACAAATTGTCACAGTGGTAAAAGTTCACACACTTTATTCAAATTAAATAGTTGCAAAGAAATTCGGTAACTGGTATGAAATATTTTTCATTGCTTCAGCTTTGTCATGTGTAAGACTTTTTTTGATAGCGCATAATTTGAATAATGAATTAATTTGAACAACAAAGGTATGACTTTTAACTACCACTGTACGCGTTTTTTTCTTTATAAATAATACATACGAGGTATCAGAATAAGCACTTATCCAGCGTGTTAGTATAATAAAAATGCAAAAAGTCAAAACATGCAAAATCAAAGTAAGAATCAAGGTGTAGTGAAATAAAAAACAACAACACAGCAATTCGATTTTTTCTCATAATCGCCAACGAAGTTATATTTGAATTATTAGTACATCTGTGATAAGAACAAAAACACAAGCGTGTCGTTAGATGGGTTAATGTTACAAGGCAAAATAAATAAATAGAGAGATAGAAAGCGCAAAAGGGACGAAACAGAGAAATTAAGTTAAATATATCATAATTATAATAATAGTAATAGCAGTATGTATGTATACACGTTTTCTCAAATTAATGTCCATTATCAAGCGAAAACGTTTGTGCACATGTTTTATACACAATCTCTGTAAAAAATACATATTCGTGCATATACATTTGATGTATTTATACGCTTCCATTAAAATATCCACTTTTATTTGTTTTCTTTTCTAGAATAGAGTCATGCAGTGGACAAGTTTCATTCTGGCATCGTTTCTTCTTGTTTTAGCGCAGCTCGTGTCGATCAATCGAATTAACTACGTGAAGCTGCCATCTCGTTTTCTTCTCCAACAAAATATCAATGCGTCGTAATGGTTCACGGTTGTTTCAAGCCAAATTGAATTCCTTCAAAGCGTTCTGCATGATGGTGTCCTTTACGGCGCAGAATACGAGCTTGATATTTTCCGTGTCTGATGGACGCATGCAATAAAATCATAATTTCCCAAACAAAAAAAATCCCCGGGAGAAAGAAGAGAAAAAGCGTTAAATTCATACCAACCACCATAAGTGTATAAAATTGAACGAGCGATGAAAAAAGGTCTTTTACATCGATCCCTTTCTCATGGTTCGTTTTATAAAAGAAAAAAAACTAGAATAATAACTTAATAATAAAATCACTCAAAAACTAAATTACATTATACACCCCGTGGCAAAAGCTCAAGGGATCGAATGGTCAAACCTAAGTAGACATGCAAATGAAGGGTGCATCACAAACATGCATAAGCCGGATGTGGTCAAACAGGCATGTTTTATTATTATTTTTTTAGCATTCGCAATACAGCAAAGCGTGAATGAAACTAGCAGTGAACCTACCTGTGGCGCACGTAAAGTGAGAATATATAATCTTTTCACTATCTGGATTGAGGTCAACGAACATCCTCAAAATGAACTCTCGGGCCATTGTCGCATCCCTCTGAGGTCCTATACAGCGACAACAACAAGATACACCAATGTGCAAGCGTTACATGATTATGATTCTAGCATTATGGATTAATTAACGTACAGGCGAATGGTAATGATGTTGATATATAAATTGACCTTACGAACTAGCTTCACTCATTTTTTTTAGCTTACTTTAAAAGTACTCGATTACAATTCTACAGAAATGCTAATTTTTGTCGTTCAATTATCTTCACCATGTATTGTAATATAAACATTTATGCATATATATGCGTACTCTCTAATAATAAAACTCAATCAATAAAGTCTAGCATTAAGCCTTAACGTGAGCGATACGCTACAAATATACGACGTACAATCACTCGGCTGATTTTCGCGCGCGTGAAGTTCAAAAAGAAACGGACAGTTGCGTACATGTATGTTAAGAAAAAGTTATGAAAAATACTCTATGGGAAAAGAATAGAAGGGTTTAAATAACGTATTTTCAAGCTCACTTTATAATGTACATCTTTGCGAGTTCAATTATCGATGAGTTTCGTGTCTCGTGAATGTAATCCCTCATTTTCGAATTTAAAAATGAAAAAAACAGTTAAAATTCAGCGACTCCGGTCAATGCGATTGTGTACATTACATCATTTTTATTAAATAAAAGCTGTGTGTGTCATGTATCGAGCGAGAATAAAGTGTTACGGTCAAGGTGACGTCGTTGTACACTGTCCGCGTGTGGAAAACCTACCGCGAAGGCCGTGCCTTTATCCCATTAATGTCGCGCGCTCGCACTAGCGCCCCGAGAAAACTTGACGAGTGGCAGTGAACGAGGAAGAGGAAGAGAGCCGAAGAGAGCCGAAGAGAGCCGCTGAAGCGACAGTTCGCGAACGCGGAAGCCCCGCGCGAGCCTATCCGTGTGCGTGCGGATTATATAGATATGGTTACGACAACCGATCGACCGGCGCGAGCGATGTTGTAACGAGCAAGGACGCTCGTCTCTTCGCTTTTTCTTCTTTTATCTCTGCAATTGTGCGATAAATCGGAACAGACGAATGATGATTAATAGCGCAACATAATTTGACAAATATTTGCGTTGTACAATACAAGTGTGTAGAGGGGGCTGGGAGGGAATCTATTAGTACAATTAAATACTGCGCCCCAAGCGAACTGAACGACTTTTGCAAACGATTTTTGCAAAACAGACCTGTCGCGGTAGTGAAGTGTGAGTAGCAGGTGCGATCGGGGTCGGGATTACAGACCAGATATCCTTTCAGAATGAATTCCCGAGCTGGTTCGTGTTGCTGCTTGGGACCTAAATCGAATCGACCAAATTACAACATAACTTCGTTTTTTTCTCTTCTCTTTTTTTTTTTTTAATTTTTACCCGAAATGGAACGATACACCGCGAGTAATTTTCCGGATCATATCGAAAGTTGTACACGCGCGACCGTCTGCTTCTCATTGGCCATGATCGTGAAGCTCGTTTTACGCTTTCATCATTGGCATTGGAAAGACTCAATTTTCTATGAAGCAGCACTTCACGCCAGTATTAGCTTAAAGCTCTTTACATCATCATTACGCGAGTTTTCAAGATTGATTCCCGAAGTTTTTTTTTGTTGAAAAAAGGAAAATACCTGGAGAAAACTTACCATCGTATTCAGGAAAATAATCCACGAGATGTGAGTACATGATTTTTTCCTCTAGCAAATCTTTTTTATTCAAAAAGAGAATGACGGAAGAATGTTGAAACCAGGGATATGTTATAATCGTTTTAAACAATGCCTTGCTCTCTTCCATTCGGTTCTGCAATTTAAATGAAAGGTTGTTTATTAAAAGCGTTGAAACATTTTTGCATAATATACACACGTGCCTTTCAGTGTACGAAAAAAATTACCTCATTTTCGGATTCAAAGAGAATTTGATCGTATTCACTTAAAGCTACCAGGAAGATAATAGATGTCACATTTTCGAAACAGTGAATCCATTTTCTTCTTTCAGATCTCTGACCGCCCACGTCCACCATTCTGCAAATTTCATCAAATCGGTTAATTAATTGTCAAAGAGATTTTTCGCAATGTACATGTATCACGGTGTCATACACTCTCACCGTGCTACTGACACGAGGCAAACTAAGCGATTTTTCAAATGCAAGCAAATTTAAATACAGTATGCCACACCAATTTAATTAGATAATTTGATAAAGGCGATCGAAACTATTTCGATGCCTTGAATTTCATGGCTTTATTCGAAGCGACAAGTATCCCGTAAGCTCCAATTCTAGCCAAGTAGGTATATTTTTCTCCTCTACTTTTTTTATTATTTTCGTATACCTAAATATGATGGAGTCCAGATCAAAGGGATACTCTAATATTCCAGTTGTAGGAACTCGAGCTCGTAGAATATCTTGCTCGGAAGGAAGATAGTCAGGCTCTTTTATACGCTCTAAGTCAGTAAGATAGCTGTAACACACAGATAGACGAAAACCAAGCCATGCAATCATGCAATTGAAAGATTATTTGTTAATTCATGCTTAAAATGTAAAAAATATTGTACATTAATGCGTATCAGTTCCCTTGAGTGCAATTACGATGCAACAACGCAGTGCTCGGCTACGTTCACTATATTAATAAAACTGAAGAATCGAGTTGCTCGTGATTTACGAGTACAAAAGCTCGTGTGATTTTAAAATACAAATAGCCGAATTCCTGCGAAATTACAGAGATATGTCAATATGCGAGTGTGTGTGTGAGTTTTGGTATGTGTGGGTGTGTGCGTGTGTACACATATAGGCCGAGAGAACGAAAAGCGAACGAGAATAGCACTGCCGGCGGGCGGACGTGCTCATTGGTCATTGATTAGTGCACGGTTTAAAATTAAAAGCAACTCCAGGCGTCCGTTCCTAGGCAACTCTAGGTTCCGTGGCTGTATCGCAGAAAGTTAGTAAACAAAACACACGTGCATGCGTACGAGGAGAGTTAGAGAATGTTCGACGCATGCAGTCGCACACAAAAAGTCCAAACCAGAGCAAACGTCACGCGTAAGCTGAGCTTGCGGTAAAGCTCTCCGAGGCCGTCGAAAGAGACATGAAAGGCATGCAAGACACTTGCGACCATCATACCTAAATCTGATTTCTTCCAAGTCAAACGGGTACTCGATTATACCGGTTGTCGGTACCCTTACGCGTAAGATGTCCTGCTCCGTAGGAAGGTAGTCGCGCCCTGCCACTCTGTCTATGTCCATGAGGTAACTGAAACGAGTAGGTACAAAGGTGTTGTTTTTGTTTTTCGACTCGCGTTAACTGCTGGCGCGCGCGAGGCCGCATTTTCTTTTCGGCAAAATAATCATGCATAAAACTAAATCCGGAACGAGCTCTGAAAGCTCATTAGAAGCTCGACGACGTACATTTCCAAGTACGCGCAAGTATAAATATTATGTTTAGATCTATCTTATAGAAGGAAAAAACATCTTTGTCGGTTAATCTATCATTTATAAGTAATGATTGTGTAATCGCAAAGGTCGTGAATGAGTGAAAAAGGCGCCTTACTATTTGGCAGAATCTGTGAGCTGGTACTCTCGTCGCCGATCGTAGCATTCCTGAATGCCGGAATCTTTCCAGAGCTCTTTGATGGCCGTTACGTATGGCTCGACGAACTCCGTGACCGTTTCGAAGTCGATCGCCCTCACGAGCTCGGCTTTTTCCTAATATCGACAGAACAAGGACAATATTAGTAAACATTGCAAGAAAAAAAATGTACGAAAAATCTCTGCTTTCGACTAATAAAAACCGGTTGACTCACAATGTTCGACGATTCTGCGTACTGAATCTTGAGAAGATCCATTGCCCGGATCATTGACTGCATGGCCATGAAAATATTTTGATACACTAGTTTGATGTAGCCCCGTTTGTCTTCGTCCGAGTAACCGGAGCCGTGAATAATTCTCATCTGTTTGATGAATGTGGATTTGCCGGATTCACCAGTACCTGCAACACAAAAAGCGAAAAGTCGATGTAAGTATATTCTCTGCATGTAAGCATAATCTTGTCTTTTATTCTTAATCGAGTCGGCAGCGCTTGCCGCGATGGTGACAATATTTTATTCGAGCGAAATTTCGCTCGGGAAATACCCGCGGCGCTGGCGCTCGATAGCGGCGCTTAAAAAACTCCTCTTTTAAAAAGGAACAGCGCACGCTCGCTCGCTCGCTCGATATATAGCTCTCTTTGAGGCGAGAGTTTTTTTTTCTTTTCGGGGCTTTCAAAAAAATTCAACCTGCACCGTAGAAGGAAAAAAAGCGAACGCCGTAAAAACGGAACGACATGGGCACATGCACCTCTGTAACGTAGGGTTATTCCCAATTTTTTGGCGCGCGCGCAAAAATTACGTGTTATATACTTTTTAAAATGAAATTTTATACTCTATATACATCCGAGTCAAATTATAAACTCGTCCTCTCTGCGGCATCGATAAAACACGTGGAAAAAAAACCAAGTAGAAGAGAGTGCAAGAACAGGAAAAATGAAAATCCAGTGAAAAGAGTCTAAGCAGCTGGCGGCGCCGCTGCGAGAGCGAAAGGAAATTGACTTCCGGCTTGCTCAAAGATTTTTGGCTCTGATCGCTCTGTAACCTACATTATAGATGTGCAGGTGAGCGAGCGGGTACCAGTGTATCGTCGCAGTCATTATATTGCGACGCGAGAATAAATCGGCGCACAGCAAGTTGGGCATAACTTTTTTTTAATCTCCATCAAGCTGAGTGAATGTCGCTTTGTAAAAAAGGCCGGGAGAATACGAGTTGGATAAGCCGTCGAGCCGAATCGAGGATTTTCATTCAACGAGCTTTCTCTTTACTACGAGCAATTTATGAATCGCTCGACGTAATCGAGTCAAATCGCATAGAAATTTTTCTCAAAGCACTAAAAGTGTCGGGCTGAATTCACTTGACATTAATGTCGCAACTCTTTGAGCGTTTACGAAGGCGTGAATCAGCCGAGCAACAATCGTGCAGAATAAGTTTATTTTTAATACAAAATAATATATCTATATGAACGAGATGGCGAGCTCTTCCGGTCGGTGCGAACATCCGAATTCCGCCGCGTGATAGACGACGAATCACGCGCCGCGAAAGGGGGCTAAAAAGCCGAGAGAGCGCGCGAGCTCGCGATTACGCGAAATTAGATTTAACAAAATGCACTCCTACGTGCAAGAGGCGAGAAGGCGTGTACGCGGTCATAACGTATCATCGCAAGTAGTGTGCGGTTAGCCGCATTAAGCTCTGCTCTGCGCGCACATTGCCGACCGCAAAGTGTACGGGAGCGTCGCCGTCGTCGTGCCTTCACTCGCAGCCGGGGACAGCTCCTATACACCTATACGATCTATGTGCGCTGCAAAGCACACATGAAACGTGCATCTCACGACAAGTTCTCAGCGAAGCCAGGAAAGATGATTCGCGCGAAATAGCCCTCGGCACGCCGCTGCACTTCCTTTACTCAGCCATCTGTATAGAGTGTGTGCGAATCTGTGCAGCGCGTTCAAAAGGAAAAAACATCTCGCGCACGTGGTGTCGATTGCGTAGCGCGTAATTTTATATGATTTTCGGTAGCCGCAGCGAGTGCAGGTTCAATGAACTTGTACGGAGCGCTTCAAAGTTTTCGCATTTTAAAAGCAGCAAAAAATGAAGCATTCGCGATGGACAGCAGCAGCGCGTGATTGCGAGCGGCCGCGGCGATGACTAATACGCGCTGCGCGCTGATGTAACTGCGACTGCCAACTATTCGTCATAAAGCATTGACTTTTGGCGGGCGCAAAATCCGATTGCAAATATCGAGGGATCGAGAGAAAGATAGATGAATCAAAGTCGATTTTGCCATGAGCTTAGTAATCGTTGCATATGCACGTCGAACAATCTCTGCGCGCGTCTTTTACTTGGAACAGAAATTAAATTTTCGTGTTTACGCATCAATTTATCGCTGGCGCTCTTTTTCGGTGCCTCTCTCCTTCCTCAAATTACGTGGGCATCACGTTGGGTCGCGATTCACATGCAAAATTCTGCCTATAATGATGCAAACAATAATCATGACACGTGGAAGAAAATCAATACGTTTGCGAGGGAGTACAGGTAGTAGCTTTGTCGAGCGCGCGTGAATTGACAAATTTCGGCGCAACGTGCGCAGGGATTACTTTAGTTTTTTTTGTTGTGTCGTTGCGCTCTGCCTTTTGTTTAATCATTCGCCATGCATATGTGCCATTAAGAAAAAATGAAGATAAGGGCGTAGGCGTGCGCGCGCCGACCGACCATAGTCGTCGTCGCAGTAGTAGTAGTAATAACAGCGACGTTGCGGGCAATGAGCTCGTCCGGATCTCTCTCTCTCTCGCTCAGACGACTATAGTCGAGCTTTTGCACCTACACATACACATAGATAGAGGCGCACGAGTGCAAAAGAGGATAATAACTGCTGCATGTGCATAGGTATTTGCATGCAAGCGTACAGCTCGTCTATCATCTTTTTCCTTCTCGCATGCGACTCTTGTCTTTTAATTTTCTCGTTGCGCAGGGTAAATATTTTCCAGTAGACATGTGCAATGCCTTCGGGGAATGCAGATACGCGTTCGAATTAGTTTTAATGTGTGTACATTTTAAAATTTATCCGGCCGCGCGTATTTTCTCGTCCTCGAACGCTTCGAAGAAAAGAGCCGAGCACACGACGATAAAATTCACTCGATATATTGCGATACAACGGACGAGAGCGTTTTTGCGCGCGATAATAATAAATTGGAAAATCGCATTATTCGTTGTGCGCGAGAGCTAACTGCTGCTACTGCTCTTGCTATTACTTGTTCGTCGCGCGAGCTTAAAACTTCCTGCCATATATAAGATGATTATAATGCAATTTTGTACGAAAAATTAATTACAATAACGACTAGAAGCGCATGCGAGAGAGAGTGAGCACACGTTTACACGCGTGGCGGCGAGAGAAGTTTCGCGAGTAGAAATCACACACGAGCATATCTAACGTGCGCAAACATACACACGCAGACGTGTCGGACTGATCCTAGTTATGTTCTACTGAGTCTCTAGAAGCTTTGAACTCCTCGCGTGCAACATTGTTTTGTGCTCGCTTATATATACACGTATTCGCAAAGAGTTCAACCAAAACTCGCATAAATTAGGAATTTCCAAGCAGCGGTGGCAGCGGCGGCGGTGGCGCGAGCGAGCAGCCAAGGCAACAATAATCCAAGTACGGGAGTTTATAACATTTTCGAGCTTTTATATACGCTCATGGTTGCGCAGCAAAAGTAGTAAAACAAAAATCCAACGATACACGAGCGCGTCGAAATTTAGCCTCGCTTTCGACGTAACGATAAGCTGAAAACGTTTATGAATTCTTTCAAGTAGATGCTCACGAGACGATCGGCTCTTTGTTTAGCCTGTTTTATTGGTAAGTGAGTATTTTATTGTCGTATAGTCACACGCTCGTATATATCACTCTCGCGAATTGACTCATTTCTCAGGATCGGGCGGCAAGTTTTGAAATTCGCTCGATTTACAATGGGATGACAACGACAGTCGTATACGTTTCGACATACACAATTTAAACGCGCTCATTGGCAAATAGTAGTAGTTTAAAATATAATGCGGAATATCGGAGGCACATGATTCGCACCGACACATCGTGGATAGTAGCAATTCATGTACCACGAAAAAATTTTAATTACTTGCCACCACCTATCGCGGTGTAAAGATTTTTCGTAATAATATTATCTCGGTTGACCTAAATAATATCGATAAGAGCATTTCCGAGGCAGATCCAATGTGTCACTCATTGCACGGGGTAATAATTTTTCTCCGCCTAGACGAAACTCGCTCCGTTGTTATTTTTTCTTCTTTTTTATTTTTAATTAGTATACGACATCCTTATCAATGCTCACGCACACACATACACGAGCGTGCGACTTCACTCGTTGGTTTTCTCTCAAACGTTCGTTGACCCGGTAATATTTCTCCTTTAGTATGGCAACGACGCACTTAAAAATTGTAATACGATAGAGAATCGTACGTAGACATAACGTTTGTCGTATGAAACGTAAACTTTCGTGTCACATACATTGTTGAGACATTGTCGATGAAAAAGGATAATAATGACACAAGCCTAGCCCGATCACGTAGAATAATCTTATTTCAAGTACTCGCTTTCCGATCTGTCAAACATGCCGTGATTTAATACGGAAAGGTTCTTCACTTGACATTTTATTCTTTGCGTCTAATGATGATATCGATCTAGCAGATGATTTTACTATGATTCACAGTGAGTTTCTAACGGATTAGCTAATTCATTCAAAAATATAAATCTCACAAATGTTATCAAGATTTCTCGAAATACGAAACATTATTCATCATCTCGCGGTAGTGGGGCAGCAGCAGCTTATATGAGCAGCATCGCCAATTAGCAAAAGATCCCATGCTCTGAAGATTACAACGTGAATTAATAAGAAAGTCAGGGACGCGCTTTATATGTGCTGAACTTACAGGTACGAGGGTATGTGCACTCGTTTGACGCACTCGTTTAGATGCGCGTCAATAATAACAATAGTAAATTGCTTGGTAAAGGTAGTAGAGTCCCGGCTACGCTGAATTCACATCTCTAGCAGTTGCAGAATTAAACTCGAACGAATGGATACATATATACATTATATGTATCATCAATATATCCAAGAGATGCAATTCGTACGAGTATATGTGAGTGCAAGAGCATCAAAGCGAAGCAACGACTCGATCGACCGATGAGCTGCTGCTACCTGTGAGCTCAAACGTACTGCTTTCGTCTCTCTCGTCTCTCTCTCTCTACCTCTATACCTCTCTTCTTATACATACGTACTATGTTTTATCGCGCATTTTTATACGTACACCGTTATAAGTCCATGTGAGCATTTCTATAAATCATGGGAAAAATACGAGGCTAAAATCGCGATTGAAAATTTTAGCGTTGAATGCGCGTAATGAACCTTGATGATTGTTCATTGATGTCCCACAAACACACGCTAATGCGTGAACAATGAACATTTTGATAGGTGCTTTTTCTGTAGTTATTCTTTTGTTCCCGAGGGCACAAAATACTTAAATACTTATTCCTTGTGTTGAAATTTTCGAAAACATTTGAAACTTTCTCTTAATCTCCTTTTGTCATTTGAATATGTAATACTTAAAAAAAAACATTAGGATACAAAAAAAATAATATTCAAATTTTATAATTTTTGGTGAAACTTAACTGATGATTGCGCCAATTAAAATATTTTTCACTTAATACCGATTAGCATTACAGAAAAAATTAATAAGATAAAAAGTATTTAAAATTGTTTAAAGAAGACGTGTGAATTTTTTCAAAATTGTATTCAATATTTTGAATCTTTCAAAGCTCAAATCTTAAAAAGTTTTGAAAACTTTAATAAAAAAATATAAAAACGTATTAATTAAAAAACTAGAGAAAATATATGACAAATTTTGCCAATTATTTGTAGAAATGCTCATTTAGATATCTAGATCAATCCGGATTCGGAATAATTATTTTATTCGAGAAATTGGAAATGAAATCAAAAGTTGAATGGATTAATTTTTGTATAGAAAGTCTCAGAGTATAGGTAAGCTGTATACTACAACACAAGGTCGACTATGATCGGCCATCCAGAACTCGTGGTAGCCCATGTATCGTATGGGTGTATGTATGAGTATCGCTACACCTCGCTCGATTATTTATGAAATCTCGTGGGTATTTTTACGAAATAGCCAAATACACTTATCGTGTTGGGCTCTCGCGTAGACACACATACACACATATACAGTACACACACACACACTCATATAAATGTACGGGATACCAGCAGTCGAGCACTCTGTAAATTAAACGTTTCTTTCCGATTGGCGGTAGAAGCATAGAAGCAGCGGCGGCGTCGGCAAGCGCATCATTATCGTCGCGGGCTTAGCTCGCGGCTCTCGTCTAATACAATTTCTGTCCTTGTAATTATTAAACAGACGGGACTATATACGACGAGACTCTTGGCTCTCGAAGCTGAATGCGAAATTGAAAGAGAAAGGAATACATAAACGCTCATGAGTTATATGTGTCAATGATAATAATCGCCGGTGTATCACATACATAACGCCGTATATTGTGCGATGCGTCATTTTACCGCAGCTAACATTATCATACGCAACCTTTTTTTTTTTCTTTCTCTCTTCTTCGATTTCGAGCGAAAAATCGAGTAATTTACAGTTATACTCATCCGCGACCTTTGGACTCGTCTAAATCTTGTTCGAATAATTACATAAGTAAAGACGAATGAAACCTGTGTATACATTACAATGAGTGGCAGCGGCGCGCGCGAGCCGATCTATATTATGCATTCAATTAGGCATTGGCCTGCGAAGCCTTTTCTTTTTCTTCTCGAAATTGCGCGTAGCGTGCAGAATTGGTGTAGCAAGATTGCCGTCAAGTATCACAGCGAGCTTGACTACATTATCCAGTATGATTGCCTTTATAAATAATAAAACGTTTTTTAAGCGAAAGGCCTGCGAGCGTATAAATTTACGAGCAATTGCTGCTCTGTATGTGATGTTATTAAAACTAATGTAATGCGCGCAGATGTATGTGCTCGCGTGCCGCTGTTGTGTGTGCGCCGAGTAGTGTCAATTTGATTTTCAGCTCGAAATTTAATCAACGTTTCGTTCTCTCTTGTCGAGGCGCGTCCCCATGCAGCTGTTTTTATTTACTCTGGGCGAGATCTTTTTGTTTTTTTTTTACGAAAGTTTAGATAACCGAGGCGCCGCTTGAATCGAAAAAATTTATGATTTTTTAGTCGACGATCGATCGACAGGATTCTGCAGCACGAAAAATGACAGTTTTTTTATCTCGGTCACGTCAATTTAGAAAAAAGAAGCAAACCTTACAAGACAATGACGAGAGCGTCGTATATTTATCACCACGCTACTTAATTTATCGTCTTTTCATAAATAAAACTTATCGCTCTCGTCTCGCGGTTTTAACCGGTATTACGCGAGAAATGCACCGTTTCTTTTTTCGTTCATTTTCCCCCGCCAGAAAGTGAAAAAGCGCACGATCGGCAGATTTCGCGAGTCTACCTTGATCGACCTTGGAGCAATGAAATAATCGAATCGACCGACGAATTAATTGTTCAAACACGTGAGTGCATAATTCTTGAAATCTGATCAACCTCACGCCTCAAATAAATGATTCTTTTTTTTTCTTTTCGCAAGTGTCAGGTTCTAAGCGTTTGCTGGTGTTGGTGTAATACAATAGGCCCAAGCAGAACGAAAAATTGCGCGCGAGAGCTGCATCGACAAGCAGCTATTAAGCAATGGGGTATTAGGCCGACTCTCTGTCTTTCTTGCTATCTATCTCTTTTTCGCTACACTTATACATATTTGAAAGCTGGCACGTATCGATGGTAAAGCTCACTCGTATATACCTTCACGACGAAGAGTTCAACGTTTTTTTCTATTTTTCCCCTTTTCTTTTCATACAGGTACGCGAGAGTTTTATTCCGCGTGCGTGTGGCTGCGGCTCGAATTGTTGCCAAAAATAGTCGACACATGTATCTGGAAAAATTGATTCAAGAGTATCCAGCGGAGGCTCATGCACTTATGTAAACGAGTGCAGATTTTGTCACGTTTTACTCTCCTCCCTTTTGCACGAGATCTTTTATTTTGCTTCGAGTGAAAAATTCGTCGACTCCTCATATATAGTTCGCACGCTGATACGGGCGTTTGCAGATGTGTTGTGGCTACAGCAAACACGTGACGTAGTCCCGCAAGCTCGAAGCACGCCTAGATCAATTTTTAAAAATAAAAGCTCCGAAGCTCTCACTCTCGGACTCGGCTCTACGTTCTTTCCTACCTATGCATATTCACGTTTTTAAACTGTGAATTTATTCCATACGTTGGTAGAGAGAGACTAACTCTTGGCTTGTTTGGACCGTGCTCTACAGAAAAATATATATGTAAAAAAAAGTAAAAGCAAAAAATTTGCAATATAAACGCTCGCAAAATTGCACGACGAATGCCAATTTAATAAATGATCAAAAATCTTCAATTCAAGCGTTATCCGTTTGAGATTGCAGATTATTTGCTGGCAGTTACGAAATTGTTCTTTGCGCGAGGCAAGTGAAAAAAACCGAGTGTCAAATTACCACGTGATGGTGGTTTTACTTATATAGAGTTTAGCTTCTCTAATTTCTGCCATACGTTAAAAAAATTTTACTAATAGTGAATTTTGTTTTAATGAATTGAACGGTACAGCCTAAAACTTAGACAATACGGTTGTTGAGCAATTGTCTTTTTTTTTGGCTTTTTCTATCGCTTCGTTAATGCGTGGATTTGTTCTACTCGTCACAGCGGAAACCGGATGATGATTTGGCAGATGATACGAGTCTAGCGGTACAATTGCTTATCGCTTTTTGACTCGTGCTTTTCTGATTTTAGAAAAAAAAAAAGAAACGAAAAAACAAAAAGAAAAGTAAAGCGCGAGAGAAGTAAGTTAGCAGGATAAAAATATTAGAAAAGGCACGTGTACTCACCAAGCAATAAAAGCTTGAGTTCTCTCCTGGCATCTCGTTTGTCTCTCCTAAGTTGACGTTCAATTTCTTGATTGATACGTTTTTGTTCCTTGGCCTCCTCCGACAGGCAGCACGCCATGGTTACAGCGTGTCTGGCCTATCTATAATTATCGGATGAAGTTGCCACAAAGTAAAACGTATCGTAATCAACTGACTTTATTTATTGCACACTTGTAACGCCTGTATCTGCTTATTTTTCAACAAAATCAGTAAGCAAGGCAGTTGTTTGTTTCTCGCTGTTTATTGAGCTTTTTAAATCTGTTTTTTTTTCTTCAATGAACAATCGATGCTGCCGCTGGTCGGTCTATCTCCATCGTAATCCTAGCTCTTCTTATCTGATGCTCAGGTCATGGAAGTCACAAAAGCCATGAGTGCAGTTTTCAGTCCTGGTAACTCTGCACACAAATTAAACATATGTATATAGATATACGTATACACAAATAGGATGTAAATATATGGTTGGTCGATGTGTAGATGCTACACGCATACATATGCACTTGACACGATCTATCTAAGTAACTCCGTGTACTTGTCTACACTAATGCATTATAAATACATAGATGTGAGTACACTAGGTATAATTTCAAAAAAAAAAGAATAAAAAAAAATGTAATCATCAGTAAATTATCGATGTCGCCGTAGTCTTCGATGCGGTAAGAAAATTAAAAAATAATAATAAACAAAATCATAGAACAATAACAACAGCAACAGAAGCCGTAGCGTACGTCACCTAAGAGGTATGCATGTAAGTGTGTCTGTGAGTACAAGAGTCAAGTAGCAGCGGGAAAGTACAACGATGAAATTGATAAACCACTCGACCGGTACATACTTATTAAAGATAAAAACAACAACAGAACAACATGAATAAAAACAAGGCGGACATGCAAACACGTGGAGTGAATCTTGGCCGATTCGTTGTCCCGAATCGTGTCTGTTGGTCAGTCGAGTAGTGTATAAATAACAGTCAGCGAGCTCACGGTAAGAAAAAAGGCTCATACACGTGATGCTGTACAAGAAAATAGAGGCAGTCGCGGATGAAGCAAATCAGTGCGCGTAATCGTCGTCGTACAGGCGCGTTACAAATACACACATCTATTTAATCGGACGCTGCTGCTGCTTGCTGGATTCTCGACACAAGACGACGACGACGACGACGACGAGTTTAGTCACACACGCGCGCACTCAGTCTCTCGCACAAACATGCAAACGCACACAGAGCCAGGCGTGTGAACGAGAAAGAGAGAGAGAGAGAGAGAGAGAGAGAGAGAGAGATAGAGAGAGAGAAGCAAGGCATGCAAGCAAGCAAACTTACACGAGCTACATACGGCAGAATATACCCATTCGTTCAAACATTCGCGTCACTGCTTATTTTGTATTCCTAATTTTTATCATCAAAAATAAAACGAGGCCTGTGTAGGCGCGTGATGTAATGCTTATAATGTACCGGTACACACTCACACACGTATACACAGACGACACTTGAACTTGATTGGATATCCTGGCCAGTGAGCTGGCTCGAGCTCGGAGCAGCAGACAAGACAGTCGAGCCAGACAGACAGACAGCGAGAGAGTAAAATTGCACTTTTATGTGTATTATCAGCAGCTCGGAGGCTCACGCACACGAACACATATACACGTATTTAGCAGACGCACTCGGAACACGCGAAATTTCAACTCGAGCTCGAGGCAGACGTAGAGAGAAAGAGAAAAAACGGTGCAGCAGCAGATTATTGCAAAGGAGGTAAAGCGAAAAAGGAAAAATACTTTATTCTCTTCTCTCCCGGCTATTTGCTCGTGCTCCACTACTCGCGAGCTTTACACGTTCACGTAGGTATTGTATGCACGTATAGGCGACGAGAACACACACGGCCGTTTCTCCAGTGCGATCTGTGTATATGTATATACATGTGTCAGAAAGTCAGACGTGTGTATATGGGAGGCAAAACTGGCGAGCTGCTGCTACTGCTGCTGCCTCTGCTGCTACTGCTCTCTTGACTCTCTTTACTGCTGCTGCTGCTGGGTGTGGTAACCACGGCTAACCTTCCGTCTCTTTCTATCTCGCGCGCGCTACTACACGGCAGATATAGGCTTCGGAGCTGCTGTTGCTATATAGCTCTGCTAGCGCGCTTCTCTCGAGCGCACGCACGGCTTTTTCGTATACCTATATATATTTTGCCAAGAGACCAGCCGCTGTCGCTAACTTTTGCGTGTATGTGAAACACACACCTCGTTGCAGAAGGCCGCGCGCGCGCACGTAAACGCTGAAAGAGAAGCACACCGTTCCTGGATACGAGCGTATACGCGAATATGTTAGAAGCTCCGAATCTAGCGCTGGACTTGCATCGCGTGTCTCATGCCTATACTTAATGATTTCGAAAGAGAAGTAGAGAACGAGCGAAAAAAGACTGCTGATTTTTTGCCTCACTGATCGACTCCGACTGTATATATGTGTATGTATGTATGTAGGCGAAGAATCGCGCGCAGCGAAACTTGAGAGGTTATACAGCCAGAGAGAATCGCTACGGCGATGACTTCTCGAACGCCAAAGTCAAGACAACAACACATACAAGACTAGCGCTGGAAAAGTAATAAATGCACGCAATGTTACGTACGTTCTGCAGCTTTGTATGCTTCGTTTGTATCAAGCTGCGTTGCGCAGCTCTGCGCCAACAAATATAACAACAGCAACAACAACAATAACAATAACAACAATAACAACAGACTGCGACGAACAACAAAAGTCAAACTTCAGTCTGGGCAGGAGCTGCTGCTGCACTTGTGTAAGTATATATATATATACAGATGATGCAAAGCACTACACACGATATTCGCGAGGCCGTCTGCTGCCGCCGCCGCTGCTACTGCTGCTCTCTTGGTTGGCGCGAGGCACACAGAAAAAGAGAGAGAGAACGAGGATATGCAAGGCAATGTATATAGGAGAAACGTATAGAGCTGCGCCGGCCGGTCGCAAACAACAAACTGCGGGACGCGCAAGGTATTGCTACGAGCTTTTATACGACAGGATAGGCAGCGCTCTGGAGAAGCGCGCACAGCTTCAAATTGGATTATTGCCTCTCTCTAGCGCGCGCGATGACGATATACGCGTCCCGAACGCGCTCCGCTATATACCTCGCGTTCAACAGCAACGGCACACAAGCCTACTGCAAGTAGATTATAGCCGAATGTGTGTAAGGTATTACGCGAGAGCGAGCGAGCGAGAAAGCAGGAAGCCCTTGGCATCCGATGACGAAAGAAGGCTAGAAAAAGAGACCAAGAGTCAAGTCCAATGTCTCACCTTCGCGTGCTACTGCACTCTCTCTCTCTCTCTTTCCCCTCTTTCTCTCGGCGCCTATGCGAGTTTCCTATTATTTTCTCCCTTTGTCACTTTTATAACCTGTGTGCAATTTCGGAGTGAAAGAGAAAAAAAAGCTCGGCAGCCCCGAGCGTAAGCTCAACTTGACCGCTTCCTAGGTGTGCAATTACTTAGCTTTTCTCGCTTAGGCTAGGCAGCTATCTCGCTTTGTATAATACGGAGCTGTTAACGCCCAAAGATGCTGCTGAACGAGAAACAGAGGGACAGCACGAGAGACCAAAAGAGAGAGGCGCAAGTTTTAAATTTAGCAACCGGGCACGTGCCCGCGCGAGCTACTATCGAACGACTATAACCGTATACGCTCAAGTTTTTCAGCTCCAAAAAGCTCGTTCAGCACCAAAAAGCTTCACATTGCATTATTGGACGACAAACCCAAGAAGCAAATTTACATACAGCTAGAGAGGAAAAGATAGAAACGAAATAATCTTCGAGGGTTATGCCGTTCGTGAGCAACTGATTTTCGTACAAATGGAAACGATCTTCGTCGGGAGCTTGTGTTTACACTGAAAGCTGCTGCTCAGTGTACCTATGTACATTGTATATATATTTATCTAAGACTTGGTATATTTGCAACTGAGACATGTAACCTATACATTAACGTTTAAGGTGCATGTATTCATATGCAGGCAGGCAGACCGCCTAAGGAGAGAGTTTTCGACGTATACACACATATACATATGTGGGGTCTTGCAGTAGCAAAATCGTACCCTTAAAAGTACGCCCAAACGCCAGAGAGCACGAAAGAGGGAGAGAGAGCGAGGAGATCTTTCTGCTGCACCCATTGAACTATATACCTACACCGACTCGCACCGCCGATGCTGCTGCTGCATCTGTAGCAGGCACGATTTCGCGATTGAGACAGAGAGAGGAAGAGTGAGTTGAGCTACGCACGGCGTGTGTACGCGCATTTCTAAAAATTGAGGTTACTTTTCGAACGTCGTCCTTTATGGTCCGCCCATATAGGTAGCGGCTACAGTGGATAGAGGCAGAGATACGAGGAGCCAGTCCAGCGGTGTAGCATGCTCGAACTATGTCGCCTCGGTGCTCGTGTACTCGTCAGCAGTACCGACACAGTACAGAAGCGAGAAAATAATATCGATCGAGGTAGAAAAGTACGGCGGCGAGAGCATAACGTGCGAAGAGCCGTATTGTAGTAGCAGCAGCAGATAGAGATATACACTTCAGAGCTGGTCGTCCGCGATTATTATAAAGAAACGATCGACGATCATGATTTTTCGACTAACGCACGACTACTCGCTTCTTCTCGCTCCGTAACATACACGCTCGTGCAAAGTCACAGCACGAGCACATATAAAGGCCTATATCTGGCCACATATACGTACGAAGTACACATACAAGTACAGATACACATACATGCACACATACGTATAAACACGCACTATTCTGGACGATGAACGCACTCACTTGCTATTTCTCTTATTCTCGCCGTCGTCTTCGGTGTTTCTGCAGCTCCTATACATTTGGGGGAATAAGTCAGTCATTCCCTGCGTGCAGCACCTTGCATCTTCCGGATACTCTTCATCGACTCGTATCTATCAAAAAGCTGTCGTCTTGTGGGCTGCTCGGCGTACACAAAATGCACTCTCGGTCTCCCTTGTCGCACAGTTAACACAGGCTCACTACTACCGACGTGATACGATTGAGCAAAAATATCGCCAATTATATAGATACATATTGCGAGCGTATGCACGGCCGGACAGAGAGAATATCACACGCGAAAGTCCAGCTTTACGTGTTGTATAGTTTCACGCCCGACGATTTCTTGTTTTTCCTCTCGAATTACGAGTATTTTTTCTTATATTCTTGGCCTAGCGGCTCGTTGCTGATGTTCGGAGAACACGCGCACACTCACACAAACACTCGCGATCTTCTTATTCATGTATAATTATATAGGAGCGATCACACGCCGTACCGGAGGAATCGGAAAACGCACTTGATTATCGCAGAAGGAATTCGACGCCGATGCCCATCGGCCAGTGTGAAACTTGTGTATACGTAAATCACTACCGAAACGGTGGCATGCGTTTATATGTAACAGTTGACCACGGGTCAATTGTCGCCGGCGAGGAGACTTGGACTGCACGAAATGTGTAATTGCGAGGCGACGACACGTACATGCACCACCACACGCGAACAGCAGCCGCGAGAACGTCCTCCCTGTGCAACTCACTCGACAGTCGACGTTTCTGTGCTTATGTGTGTGCGGCCGCGCGGCTATGCCGTCTCATCCGTGCACCAACACTTGGACACACGACGCGTCCTATACGTGTGTTGCTGTGCGAATTCTCCTCTTGCGCCTGTATACGTGTGCCCCTATCGGTGCGCGTGTATATTTATGGGAATGAAAATGGGAGGGGACACGAACGGAGCCGAGTCGCGAGAGCTCGAGCCACGATGAGCAATCCGCCTCGTACCGACAACGAGTAAACCAGCTACACATATCCCAAGTACCCGACTACATGCACGAAAAACCCGAGAAAGAATCTCCGAGCAGCAAATGAGCCTACCTTCTGTGTCTATAAGAAGAGCTGCTCTCAACCTTTTTATGGGAGCTCCAAAATGATATGATCCAGAGCGACGACGACGACAACTTCGATCTGTCCGTTTATTTCAGACGGTTTGGATCTTCAAGGCAAAAGAGCTTTCGAAATGTCTAATAGCGTCGCGTTGCGACGTCTCTTCACGGAACAACGACGAAAATAGTTGCGCAAAAATGGAGCACAACCACTCTACTGGACAAGAGAGAGTCCCCGAGAGACGATCGTCGCTCGCGCGCTCGTTTTTTTCCGTACCGAAAGCCCAAAAAGATTTTCCATCGGTATCATGCCGGCGTTTCGCCACTTTACGCTGATTCACCATATCGATTGCGCCGTTCGATTTTCTAAAAATTGAAAATGTGACGGTCGGGCTGACGGTCTCCGGACCGTGTCGCAGCTGCACTCCATTAGAATTTAAATTACTCCGCTGCAGCTCGTATGGTCGCCCTCTTCAAAGCAAAACTGTGATGCTAGTGTCAATTAGAAGGGGTGAAATTTCATCAACGGCTTCGCATTGCGAACATTAATTCGAGTACTCGATGATAGCAGACACAAATCGTAATCTGTAATCCGCTGGATGCTTTGTGTCGTTTTGCGTCTGCTCCTATGTGAACACAACTTGCTGCCCGCAGCAGCTCTCTATATTACTGTATCTGCTATGTGAAAGCTGTCGTGGCCGATCGACACAGTGTTTGCTGCTCGTATGCAGCGATTGATGCTGCTACAAACTGACACATTTTCATCTTGGAAATTGGGAAACATAGTACTTTTTGCACGTTAATTCTCGCGTACCTTCTGCCGAACGAAAAACAGTCAAGATGGTTTTAGCGGATCTTGGGCGTAAAATTACGTCGGCTTTGCGTTCGCTCAGCAATGCCACAGTCATTAATGAAGAGGTAGGTTATGTTTTTCACATCGTAAACATATGTATTCGTTTACCTTGTTGATGTGTGCATCAAACAGATGTTTGAAAAAATGATCAACGATGCCTTTTCTTTTTTCGTCCTAGGTACTAAATTCCATGCTAAAAGAAATATGCGCTGCTTTGCTCGAAGCCGACGTCAACGTAATGTTGGTCAAAAGGCTGCGCGAAAGCGTGAGAAATGTCATTGATTTTGATGATATGGCTGGTGGACTTAACAAACGACGTATGATACAAAGTGCTGTATTCAATGAGCTCATCAAAGTAAGCAACATCTTATCCAATCAAATTTGTCAATCGTCAAATTTTTACACATTTTTTCACAAAAGTTTCATTCTGCATTAATAGCTCATTGACCCTGGAGTCAAAGCCTATCAACCTGTCAAAGGCAAGCCTAATGTTATCATGTTTGTTGGTCTTCAAGGCTCTGGCAAAACCACTACCTGTACTAAATTAGCTTATCACTATCTTAAGAAAAATTGGAAGTCATGTTTAGTGTGTGCTGATACATTCCGTGCTGGTGCATACGATCAAATTAAACAAAATGCTACTAAAGCCAGAATTCCATTCTATGGAAGTTACACAGAAGTTGATCCAGTTGTTATTGCTACAGAAGGTGTTGATATGTTTAAAAAAGAAGGCTATGAAATTATTATTGTTGATACTAGTGGTAGGCATAAGCAAGAAGAGTCACTGTTTGAAGAAATGTTACAAGTATCCAATGCAGTTGTAAGTATTATGTGATTTTTGAAAATAATTTCATGTATAAAATTAAAAACTACCAAGTATCTATATTATTTTTTAGCAACCAGACAATATTATATTCGTTATGGATGCTACAATAGGACAAGCTTGTGAGGCACAAGCCAAAGCTTTTAAAGAAAGAGTCAATGTAGGTTCCATTATTATCACCAAGTTGGATGGACATGCCAAAGGTGGTGGTGCTCTATCAGCGTAAGTATAAAAAAGCATTTTAGTACTAAAATATTAAACACTAACTTTTAATTATTAATTAAATAATTATTACAGAGTTGCAGCCACAAAAAGTCCAGTTATTTTTGTTGGTACTGGAGAACATATAGATGATCTTGAACCATTCAAAACAAAGCCGTTTATTAGTAAATTATTGGGTATGGGAGATATCGAGGGATTAATAGACAAAGTTAATGAGCTGAATCTTGATGACAACGAAGAGTTATTAGAAAAAATTAAACATGGTCAATTTACACTCCGAGACATGTATGAACAGTTCCAAAATATCATGAAAATGGGTCCTTTCTCACAAATCATGGTTTGTTATTAATTTAATTTAAAAATAAAGATTATGCTATGTGCCTGACTTTCAATTTTATGTTTTAAAAGGGTATGATTCCTGGATTCAGTCAAGACTTTATGTCAAAAGGAACAGAGCAAGAGTCAATGGCAAGACTGAAAAAATTAATGACTATGATGGATAGTATGAACGATGCAGAGTTAGATAACAGAGATGGAGCAAAATTATTTAGTAAACAGCAAGGTCGAATAGTAAGAATAGCTCGCGGATCTGGCGTTACAGAAAAAGACGTGAAAGATTTGATCACACAGTACACAAAGTTTGCTGCTGTTGTCAAGAAAATGGGTGGAATCAAAGGTCTCTTCAAGAGTGGGGACATGACGAAAAATGTTAATCCTGCTCAAATGGCAAAACTTAATCAGCAAATGGCAAAAATGATGGATCCTCGGGTACTTCATCAAATGGGTAAATATCGATTTTTCAGTCTGCAATGTAAATATTCATGGTCAAGTTTGAAAATATTCACTTGTTTTTTTATTCACAGGTGGCATGTCTGGACTTCAAAACATGATGAGGCAATTACAACAAGGTGCGGCTGGGGGCTTGAGCAATTTGATGGGAGGATTTGGTGGCCAATCTTGAAGCAATAACAGTGCTTGAATTCCATAACTTCACGTACTGCCATTTGTTGTACATACTACATGTTTACACGAGTTATTGTATATTTTGTACATTGGGCTTAGAGCCTATAAGATATATTAACGAAAAAAAATAAATAAACCAATATAATGTTTCATTCAAATGTGAATACGATCTCGTGCTTCTTTGCAACATAGTACATTCGATGCTATTATATTATTATTACATAGTTCCGCATCGATGTGCGGTTACACGCATTACACAATAAGTATTGAGTAATGTATTCTTTAATACCGGAACCAGCCTGGGATTTAACAAAAGCTCCATAACGCGGCAGCGAATTCAAGGCAAGACAATAATCTAAAATCCAGCGTCAGAGAAAAAAAATCATCGTTTACGGAAGTTATGTTACGTGCCCCGCAAGCGCGATCATCTACGGAATGTGCGAGTGAAGCCCTGCACCAACAACCTGTTTTATTCTTCGAGTGCGCGCGAGCTGTTTAATCTGTGCAGTAACGCGGCTCTCCAATATTCAGTTTGTGCAGTAAATAAACCGAAGTCAAGGGCTTGAACTTGAAAATCTATGCGATTTTGTTAAGTGCTCATAATCGTGAGCTCGGGTAGTTCCTGCATGTATTACTGTTCTGTTGTACGACAACGTAATTAATGAAGTAATATGTAAACACGAAAAAAAGTGTTTTAAATAAAAAATCATTAATTGTATTTCCAAATCTTACATTTTTTTTCTATCATTAAAAATATAGTATTGAGTTTATGGTACTCTATTTTGTGTCAAAATAATTCATATCTAGTACTGCTATCATCTTTAATCAGAATAGTTCAAATTTACCTAGATGAATAAAAAAAGTGAGATTCCCGAATCAAAAATTGATGAAAAGGAATTGAAAATTTCAAATAAAAGCTTCTTTGTTTTTTATCATCAGTATACATATATAATTGGATCGATGCAAGAGCGAGGGCTTCGTTTAAGTATTACTGTAGGATGAACTTTGGTCAATTAAATAAAAAGGTATAAGTAAAATAAAATACAATATGTTAGCAGACACATGCTAATATTTTATTGTTCTGCAATTATCATATACTTATTACTTTACTCATGATACTTTATTCTAAGGTTATATATTTTTCTGCAGGTATGGCTACAATAAAATTAGACAACACGACATATATCTGACAAACGACATAACAACGATCGATTTCATAGTTACACCGACGTTTTCATTATTTTTCTTATTTTTATTTTGTTCATACGTAATCTCTCTATATATATTTTTTTTAAATATTCATGAGTGCATGTTCAAAGCTGAATAATCGTGAAAAGTACCTCAGGCACTCACTTTTGAAAGAAAACTTTCATTTACAATGATTGTACATCCAAAATATCGGTGTAAAATTTTATAAAAATTTACTTTACGAAAAACAATTTTTTTCTTTTTTTTTTCTTGTAAAATAGGCATTTTACTGTTTCGAAGACGTGAATAACATTTACACACTTCTCATAAGGCGTAACAATTAGTCGATCTTTTAAATTATAAACATTTGATGATTTGTATAAAAGAACAATTGAACTTGACTACGATCTGCCGTTTCCTTAAATGATTCAACGGAAGATGAACATATTTATGTGATGTTGACTCGCGATTTTTGACTCGCTTGGTTCTATAACTGTTTACGCGTTTCTTTATCGTAAGTTTATATTGTCATATATCATATGAATATTTCTTTTATTACAAAGGTTTGATGCAAAACTTGTAGTACTTTTTTAATTTCTTAAAATTAGCAGCGTACATACGATAAATTGTTTGATTATCTTATAACAGAGTACTTTTTAGTTCAGTAAAACACCATGACGCAATAAAAAAAAGGTAGTTAACGGCTGCTCCAAATACAATATGTATAATAATCATTAAATTTTTCTACAAACTTGGTAGAAAAAAATAAACGCAAAATAGATTAAAATATTACGAAAGGTAGTTTTTCCCCGTTCTGTCCGTTTATCATTCAGTTCATTAAAAATGATAACGATCAATTGAAAAATACATTCATTTAAATTTCGATTCCTAACTCATTATATATAGGACACACTGGACAACGCATTGCTTCCATCAGCAAAGTATATCATTATGAATAATCATTATCCTTACTCTCGGACTAAATATGCTGAAATTGCGACTCGTCCATCTAATAAAGCAAATAAATAAATAAATAAGTAAAGAAAAAAAAAATAAAATATGAGAATCGCACATGCTTGTAAAAGAGGCATGTAAATTTTGCTTAAAATACATCGATGGACGATTCGCTCCAATAAAACATCGATTATGTTTCCTTAAGATTTACATGGTTCTATGTACAAATTCATAAAAGTATATTAATTTTTTATCATTAATTAATATAGAGACTTTCATTGTATTATAGTTTCTCAGTATCTTTAACTTCGGCCTCAACGACGCTACATGTTGAGCGTGTATTTGTTTGATCATTCATTTACCTTTATAAATCTCTAATCATTTTTTTTTCATTCACATGAAATTCCATGCGATTGCAAATATAATAGTGATAGTAAAATAATAATTACTAAAAGTAAAAGTAGTAATAGTATGATTTACATGCACACAAAACAGGCTCACACGCGAGTACAACTGTTACATGATTATTTCAGAGCTTGATATATGGTTTTATTTCTCTCTCTCTCTCTCTCTCTCTCTCTCTTTATTTATATATAACTAATCTCAAATGTATCGAAGAAGAAAAGATACAAATCGATGAGTAATCGTTCACTCGATGAAAGTAATGTTTATTTCATGTTATCCAAAATGCAACAAATACAAATTTGTATGGTGTGAGCGATTTCTCAACATTTTTAAAACTTTTCATTTGATACGAATGAGACAACAAAGCACAGTTCTGTACATATTGTGGTTAATAAAAGTGCATTTTGTAATTCGCACAAAAGTTGAAGGAAAGTACGCGATTGGTGTGTGCATATAGATCGTTTTTCCTGGACAAATAATTACACATAACATGTGAACGTATGCGATATATATGTATCATATAGATAAGGGAGCAAGAGAAAGAAAGGCCGATTAATTTTATACATTGTTGTAAAATCGTCGTCGATTGGCACACGATCGATTGATCACTTAATGTACAGAACAATTACAAAGTTGGCAATTCTGTTTGCTTGGTTTTTTTCTTGCTTGTTAGTTTAAGGCACTTCTCGAGACCGATACATTACAATATTTATATGTGTATATAAAAAGTGATTGGTATATTTTATATCGTGAGACAGGCATGAAGATGAAATTGACGTGGCAGGCTTCATCGTTCTTTGATACAATTTCTTTTATACAGCTCGTTTTTCATGTTCGAGGCGAAGAAAATTCGGCGACTGCAGTAGTAGTAATAGAATTATTAGTAGTGGCTGCTGCTGCTGTTGCGGCGCTTCACAGCGGTTTCGTGAAATTGGCCGGGAACATTCCCTTCTCCGTCGTGCCCTCCTTGATTCCCATCAGCCAGCCTTCCTCCTGCAAAAAGAGGACAAAAATTAGCCGTCATATATTTACGGATGTCGTAGCGGTCACCTTGTACGGAATGTATATAACATACATATACATATAGAGGGTTACAAACCTGTTCTTCCGGATCGTCGTACTCGACGACGCGTATGATTTCGCCGACCTCGAACGACAGCTCGTCGACATCTTCGCGCTGATATTTGTAGGTGGCCTTAACCCTGTAGAGTACGCCTGGCGGAAGATTGTCCGTTGTCGCCCCTGTAGATAAATGGATACCATTTTCATATTCCACGTCTAGAAGAGAGGACGATTCAATTTGCCGCCATTAGGTGGGTACATGTCTCTGCGTAACATCGCGTGTGGGAGTATGTGTGTGTGTGCGTGCGCGTGTGCGGAGCATTGGTGCGAGAAAACGCTTTGTTTTTGTATTTCTCTCTCATGTGATAAGTAAACTCAACGAGACGACGTTTGACTCGTGCGATTACATTCATGTTTTGAAACACACATAATATGCAGTATACACATACATTTTCTTTTAATTGTTGTTATACATCACTGAGTGGTATATATTTCATAGTAATATATACTTTGTTGTTTTTATTTTTTCAAGCATGCGTGAATGTGCAGAAATTGGCAGGCAAATTGCGTATAGGCGATAAAAAGACAAAACATGTATTGATTTTTCGTTGTGATTGTGCAACATTAACACACAATAAATAGTGTAAAAATTTTTGTCGTTGCCCTTGAGACGCTCGTTGCTGTGCGGTCGAGTTTTGGAAACGTCAGGCAGTTGAGTTACAACGAAATCGATTTTACCAAGACTTTGACCAAGTCCAACGTTATGTGCTTCCGATTAGAAAAGACTCGATACTCACCGGTCGTACGAGGAAAAAAGAAAAGTCAGATAGAGAGATAGTGATAGAAAAAGAGAGATAGCGATTGGTGTGTCAGTCGTCGTTGGTCGTCGGTCGAACATACTCACCGACGGGTATGTCGTAGTGTTCCTCGACGCGTTTGGCCGAGTTATCGGCATCGTTAAGTGGCAGCGTCTCGTGGTCTCGATTATTAACGGGCGACTCGGGGTGGCTAGTAGGGCCGTTGCTTATTCCGTTGCTAGCAGCGCTCGAGCAGCCGTTAGCGTTAGCGTTGCCGTTAAGCTGGTTCTGCTGTTGCTGCTGCTGCTGTTGAATCGGTGCGCCGGTGCTGATTGTCGTTGTCGAACCTATTGTCGAGTCATCGCGCGATTCTGCCGAGCAGTCGTCCAGCGCTGCTGCAAATAGCCAGGTCAACAATGGCCCACACACAACACACACCACACCACACACACGCATCGAGGGTTCATGCCTTTTATGCGTGTTGCGATTAGTTTTTGTTTCTTTCTTTTTTTTTTTTTTAGTTCTTATCCATTGGTTATTTAAGCGTTTATTTTTTGCGTTGAGCATTAATTTTCATCGATACGTGGGTAAGTGTAAAGTCAAAGAAAAGTTCATATGGACAGTCGTTAGAACAATGGATTATGATCGTTATTACGAGTAGTTAGAGAGACACACGAGTCGCACAAAATCGATCCTTAAACATTGGTCGTGGGTTAAATGGCAGTTTTGTGTTTCGTAACTTTCTTCTCCCAGCACTGGGAGAGATCGGTATTAGTGTGCGCTAAATGAGAGAGCGAGAGAGAGAGAGAGAGAAAGAGAGAGAAAAATTTGCTCGATCGAGCTCTTTCTATTTACCTGCTGATACCTGATGATTGTTCTGAGTCGGCTGTGTGTTGATGATTAAGCTGAAAAATGTGAACGAAAGGATCGTTAAGTATAACGTGTCAGACAAACTGCACCTTGGCTACGTTGAATTATCAAAGATATACTCACGACGAGTTGGCGTTGGGCGATTTGGGCGACTGAGGCAACGTATTTTTCTTCATGCTATAAGATCCTCTCTGACTGTCGTTGGCCAATTTATCGACCAAAGCCTCGAGTTCCGAAAAAACCTGTGACAAAAGAATGCCCAAATTGTAAAAGTATGGCCGAAAATAGCCAGCGAAAGTCGGAGCGACTAGAAAATGCAAATAGTAGAAGGAAAAAAGGGGGAAAAGAAAGAGAAAAGGGATGTAATAATGTAGTACTCGCCTTGGCACTCTCGGTATGGAAGACTTGCTCGGCCGCAAATAGCGTCTGGAGATTGGTAACGAGAAATAGAACGCGCGAGTCGTAGAGCGCTGGCAGCTCGTCATGCAGCTCGCTGTTGAGCTGCTCGTAGGTACGTTTGGCCTCCTCGAGCAATTCCTTGCCGCGCGACACCTTGAGCTCGTCGCGTTTTTTTGGATTGCACTGCAGCGCTTGGAAGCTGTGGCGCTGACTGTCGAAGTCGACGAGCTTGCGGCCCCTCTTGTCGATCTTTTTCTGCGATGGGCCAAAGAAAGCACAAGGCGCACAAGAAGGCGCGATTGATTCAAACGTGTCCATCATTTATAGATAGCGAAGAGGCGAACGACCTCTTGGCCTTCGTTGTAAATACATACCCGCATCTCGGGGAACTGGCTCTGATACGTATTGAGCGGCACGAGGACGCCGTCGCCCAATTTGTGGGCAAAGTCCTGCCACAGTATGTCGAGGTTCTGTGACTGCACGTAAAGCATGTCGTGGCCTGTCCATTGGCTCTCGTAGATTTCGTTCAGCGCGTCCATGAGCGACTTGGAGGCCGCCTGCACTCCTGCAAGTGCGCCAGACAGATAGAAAACAATCGCTTAGTTATAATAGCATACGTATGAAAAAAAAAACAGATTGCACGCGACATAATGGGCATGAAAAAACTACTTTCACTTCATTATCGTCGTCGTCCGCGCGCGGGGGCCCGCCGCCTGACAATTCGTTTATGTATGCGCGTGGCCCGTTATGCACGCGAGTTCGCGCACGCACCGCCTGTTTGTTTATGCATTATATAGGTGTATACGTATAGATATAAGACAAAGCCGGTGCCGCTGCTGTGCGTGAGCGCGAAATACACTTTCTCGCGCAAATTTCAATAGGCCCGACAAACTGCGCCAAAGGATAAAAAGCGACAAAAGAAAAGAGAAAATGGGCGTTTTTATGGTATCATTGAACTACGATAGCGTCCAATTTAATTTGTGGCATCTTTTAATCCCGAAACTCATATGAATGATCTATTGAACTCGCGATGTATAAAGTACGAGCTAGGAGGCGCGAAAAAAGAAGTAGAAACGCTAAAAGCGAGGAATTTCTTTTACCTGTATAAGGTATTGATTCAGGGCATTATTCTAGACTTTGCTTCGAAGAAGCGCGCGCAGAGAGAAAATTTAGTGTAAAACTAGGCTCTGTGCTTATGTACATTTGCCATTGGCACTTTCATGAAACGACGAACAATGACCCGTCTTGTACTTTTTATTCGTGTTTGTTCGTTAATAGCCGTTTCTCTCGGACGGGTCAGCCGAGGATCAATTATATTCGGGCGCGGCTCGTCCAACATGACCAGAATAAGAGAACGCAGAAAGAAGAAGAGGCTTCGAAAAAGTCTTGGATATTTTGCGAAAAGAATACCAACTTCTCGCGCTTCCGTTTACGATGATGGCGATGTTGATGATGATGATGATTCAAGCAGCCGCAGCAGCAGCAGCACGACACTCGGCGCGCACTTTCCCGGCCTACTTATTTGGCTCGCGCTTAGCAAGGTGCGTTCACCTGTGTGTGCCTGTATTTAACGTGTATATAGGCAGCACGTACAGAGCAGCGCTCCAAGTCGTGCAAAGTCGCGCATTCGTACGATGCTCCGCGAGATGATGTTGTTGGCGCGACCAATTCGCGTATCGTAGAATCCGAGTGGCTCGAACCGGATTCGCGGGAGGACGCGTCGTCCGCGGATCGGCGAAATTGTGTAACTCGGAGCGACGCTGCACTCGACTGAACCTACTTATGTATCGACGTCGCATATAGGGTCCTGATTAACAAGTAGCAACAGAGCAGCTGCTGTACGCGTCCGAGTCGCAATAAATTAGCGATCGAGCCACGCAGCGCGCGCATATCTATCCCAACGCGCTTATATCCCATTTATTCACACCGTCGGCTTATGACTTATGGCTTATACTCGGCGTACGGCCCGGCGGTATCAAGTTTACGCCGCGAGTGGAAAAAAGTAACAGCAGCAGCAGTCGTATGACTCGGCGATCGAGGTCAGTGGCAAGAAAATCTGTCTTGTGAGAAATCGCGATCGCGACGTGCTTGTGGCGCGCGATGTGTATATAATGCAAAAGCAATGGCAGAAACGGCCTGCGGGCGATTCTGGCCATATAAGCTCTCGGGCGTGCTTCACAATGCCATATAGCGCAGCCGAGCGCGCCGGCGAGTTACGCCATTACTACATAATTAGCTTTATAAACACATTACGCGAACATTTATATATAACGCAGACGGACAGGTAAGCGCACGCGGCGGTGCGTATAGACTCGCATCGTAAAAGCCATTCATTTTTCTTAAACTCTTTCTAATCGACGCGCGGCGATCCATTTGAATTTTATACGTATAAATTATTCGTCGCGACAAGAGCTAGCTGCCAGCGGGGTATATACGTATAAGAGTGGCGCTGATAATCTCGCTGCAGTTGCATTACATTGAACAGAAGATGTTTCAGCGAAAGGGGTCGAGCAGTCGCGTGCGCATCGTCTCGCTCGTCTGCGTAATATCTCCACCGAATATTACACATGTATATCAAAGCTGCAGCTACGATGCCGATGCTGCTGCTGCTGCTGGGCACCGTCGCGACGTCTAGCTATATAGCGCATAATATACTCGCATAATATAAATAGATGTAGGCCGCCTACGCGAGAGAGAGAGAGAGCCCCCTGAAAATTATTGGCCCGGCACTTGTGAATAATCTCACCTCTGACGCATCTTATGTAGTTGTTGAATTCCTTTTGCAGGCGATTGGCCGCGTTCTGTTGCTTCGTGAAGTTCTGCAGATGCTCGTCGAATATGTCATCGGCCGTTCTATCGACTTTGCCAAGGTTTTGTAAAAACTGCAACAAACAACACAGAGGAGCATTTTTAGAACGATTAGTACGAGACTTTGTAACTGAGCTACGGCAATGTTTATTATGTACAAGATCGTATATGCGGCTCGAACGCGAGACCGTCGAAGCTACGATATGCGCACCTATACAGGTATATGCTGCTGCTAGCAAAGAGCCCAAGTGAAAGGGTATGTAAATGACACGAAGGAATTTTCTGCTATTTTACGTCGCTAGAAAAGTTGCCGAGGCACGCGCTCGAGCCTCGCTTAGACCAAGAACCGCATGGAATATTCGCCGTTTGATTTATCGATCATTTTGCGCCTATCCAAGTATTTTTTTCTTTGGCGCATCGTAAGCTCGTCGTGTATTCGCACATATACGAATGCGTAGACTCGTACGCGCTCGAGATCGAAAAACAAAATGTAAAGGAGAGAAAGGAGCTGAAAATGTCATCGAAATTTTTTTTAATCTCTCGACGGAAAAGCACGTGTACGTCAACTGTGTGGAATTAACGTCTTCGAGGAGAGGTAAAAAAAACGCAGCCACGCACGCGATACAAATATCTACAAAGCGTGGACGCGTATGTATTTACTCTGCTATTTGCCTGCTTTCGAGTAAAAGCAGGAACGCAAGCGGCGCAAGAAAAAGTGTCATTACGGAGCTGTATACGTCTGTATAAGCTACGTGTACATTGCATCCTGATCAAAGGAGAACACGCGTAATTTTCTTTTTGTCGGGGAAAAAAATCCAACTATGCACGCGCACGATGCTATATATGTAATCAAAGTTTGTTTTTCCACCTATGCAATCTAGCTTATCATGGGAAATTCGAGATCATCTGCTTCTCCTTTTGCTCTTTCTATGGATAGACACGTTTGTGTGTATTCGAAAACATCGATGAATGCAAAGTTTCACCGGATCGTACGGACAAAAGAAGAATTTCATCGTAATTAGCATCTCCCGCGCGCGCGCCTTATTGTACCGATCATCGTGGATACACGCCGCTGCGCCGCCGCACAATCTCACATTATACTTGACGCAATTGCTTTTTCTCATATTATTATAAACACATCTCCGAGTTGGGCTTTGTTTTTGTTCGCTTCCGCGTGATCCCCGTAGAAAAAGGCGCGAAATTTACACCGAGTATATACTTTTATTGCGAGCCTCAGAGTGGCGATCGTGAAAATCGGCGAGCCGCTTCGAGATTTACGATTCCACCTTATGTTTGTGTATTGCGCGATGCTTTTTGTTTTGCTGCATTACGCGAGTGTTTACGATAGCTTTTGTCGCCCGTTAAATCTCCCGTGCACAGAGTAGCATGATTTTCGCACAGGTTCTGGTTTCAGGCGAGATGAAGACATTTTTCTTGACGCGCGAGCGCGAGAATATCATTTCATAAATTCTCATGGCTCTCTTACCGGTTTTTCTCGATTTATGAAAAAAAAGCCTGTAAAATATTTTAAAGCCCATATTATGTAGAGCAAGTTCTAGGTCAAATTATTCGGAAAAACGTCGGGTTTAACTCGACGAGTTTTCGAGCATCGGCGCAGCTTATAGCAAAAATGATTATTAATCCTAACGAGCTGGAATTAGCATACGTTAAAGTGCTTGGCTTTCCTTGATAGATCAACTTGACTAAGTCGAGCTGCCATTTGCTCACGTGAGAGAATTGAACTCGATTAAACGTGCGAGTCGCTATAAGCAGAGCAAAAGTACACCCACGTACAAAACCACTAAGATCGCGTGTGTCTATCTCTTACGTCAATATACTCAATATCTTGATCTACGATACAAAAACGTGTACTTCCGCTCCTGCGCTCGGCATTCGCAGTGCTCATACGTGTATGTGTGCTCGTATATGTGTCAGCCGCTCGTAATGACCGTAGGCTTGTGGGATCGACCCGGTTCCGTGCGGCAATGCAGCTACTCCGTAAAAGAGCTACATCGTAAATAATATCGACCAGCTTTCCCGAAGTATAATCTCCAAAGCTTCATGGACAAGAGTAGATAGGTGCGAGTGTCAAAAAGTTGTATACCAAGAGAAATAATTATTATTTTAGTCGAGTTACGTGAGTAATAGCCCAAAAGTAAGACGACTAAGATTACATTCTTACGATTACATTCTTACGATTACATGCCCTTAATTGCAATATTGGAATTGTTGAATTATATCGATAATAAATACATTGTTTGGAGAAATTTACGTAACAAGGTATTCTAAAATTCGTGAAAAATCCTCATTTGAAGGCACTTTTTCATTCAATCTATCATTAGCTCTTTTATTTGATGGAATTGTGATCACTGCAAGATACAACAAATGAAGAAATACGAGCTTGCATCGATGGTCAAAAAGCGCCGAGAATGCTTTGTAGAAGCTAAGCGAAAGTAGGTGATCAAGTTGCAGCATACACGCCTTTACGAAAGCACAAATTTTTACGCAAAATAATAAGGCGAGAGCGAGGAGCAGCAGCAGTTGTAGGTAAAAACCGAAAGCACAGCTGAGCGAGCAGCGGTGGCTGCTCGCGCAAAGTGCGAATTATGCTAAATGGCTAACGGTTTTCCTTGAAAATGCGCTCGCGCATACGTATACGTTTATACGTCGAGTCGAGAGTACGTCTTTTATTCGAGTTCGCGAGTACTCGTTTTACTTGGGCTCTTTTTTCCATCATTTGATGCTAAGGCTGTTATAAAGTGGGGCCCCGTTTAAAGAGTCCCGCGCGCACACACATGCGTGTATCGCATATTAACGGTATTGGTAACGACGAGAGCTACACAATTAGCGTCTTCGAGGAGGGTCCAATAGTGCATAGCAAAGTCGAGTGTAAGCAAATTTTTTGGACTTTCGGAGAGAAAGAGAGTATATAAGAGAGATGGTCAGTCGCGTCTCGCACACGAGCAGCGTCAGCAGCAGCAGCAAACGGAAATAGAAGTACGCTCTTGGCGGCAGTCATTTTATTAATAGTATAAAAGCAGAGAGAAAGATGCGCGACGACTCGGCGTTTGCTCCTCGTGCACGAGGCGCGAGAATGTGTCCCGTTGCGGCTGCTCCGACGACTATAATTGTAGATTTCCATACGGTATACGCTTCGATCGGTGCTGTGCGCCTTATTCGATGACTCGACTCGAGCTTATAACGCAGCTTTTTTCGAGCGGATAAGAAAGTTGACGAGTGCCGGGATGCAGCTCTGTAATTAATCACCGCGTTACTTAGTCAACCTATTTGTTGTTATTGCTGCTGCTGCTCGTTGCGATTGATTTATTTTTTAAGCGCATCGAATAGTATCGATTGCCGCAGTGCCAATAAATTTCGTGACGTTTACTTTATTGTATCATTGAACCGCTGCCCGAACGAAAAAATTCATTATGAATATTTTGGCAAAATTCCAATGATTCCTCTTTTTTTTTTATTCAATATCGAACGACGTAACGCACCCCTAGCAAATGTAGCTATTGAATGATTTTTTCAACCGACTAAAAATAACAAATGGATTTTCGTAGAATATCGAGACGCGATCATCCATCCAGCGATATGCAAAATAAATGCTAGACGAAATTATTCGTGCGTCACTGACAGATCCAAAGCTCGCTCGATCGTAATTCATCTTATGGTTTATGAAATTCGCAGCTAGCGAGTTTATTAATTAAAGCGCGAAAATAATATTAGGTCGGCCCCGGCATAATAAATAAGTGCGAAACTGGCCGATCCGCAAGCGCATGCATAGCAGGCAAACGTGCACATTTCGGCGAGTTCTTGCTCCTTATAAAAAGAGCCATATAACTTTCTTACGCGCGTAACAGTACTTTTAAGCGACTATTGAGCGTATACGCGCGGCAATGCAAACAAAATTCAGCGTTCGGATGTTTTTCGCACGCCTGCGATGTCTTTCCAAGACGATACGAGGCCTCCCAACAGTATGATCTCATTTCCGCGTCAAAAGATAGCACCTCTCATCGAAAACAAGTATATATGTTTGTGTACGGGACAATGATAATTTAGCCAGGCTGAATTCGGCAATAACTCGGCGCTTTTGAGCAATTATCAAATGTTAGATATTGTTTGGAACTAAGATGGCTCTTTCAACAGGTGGCAAAGTCCGAAAAAAATGGTTCATCGCAGCGTCAACGCTTGGCGTAAATTGGCACAGATGCTGCTGTTGCCGAGCGGCGAAAGGGACAGGTCGTCGGCTGCTGCCTCGCTCATATATATATAATACCGCAGGCTCTGAAATTGCTTCGTCGCTCCAAAGTAGGGGGCAATCGGAATGTTAACTCGTGGATCGGACGTCAACCTCCTGCACAGACGCACCGCTCAAAATCCCCCCAGGACGACCTTCTCCCGATTTTGTTTCCATCGTCGTACATTCGGGAAACATACGTCGAGCTCAGCACATGTAATAATATCGTACACGTATATTTCTAGTACGAAAGTGCAGCGTGTTTCGAATTCCCAATTGTTGCGAAAGATCGACAAAGATTAATCGTCGCTATGACGCGAAACGATCCGGGCGTCTGTATGTGTAGCGGCGCATATACGAGCATTGTGGAATGAGAGGAGCGGAAAGGCCGCCGCGAGAGATCGAAACCAGCCCATATTACCCTCTCGTGCCCATTCCTTCCGTCTTTCTTTTCTCCGCGTATGTATACTCGCAGTCATACGCGCTTGGTATATACTCGACGGCGGCGGCGGCGGCCGAGATAACGGAATCGTGCGCGATTCGCGTTGCTTTCTGCTACCCGTGCTATATAGCATACAACGTCGGCCGGCGCTGCTGCTGCAGCAAGTAAAAGGACAGGGGGTCAAGAATGTTGGATTCCTCGTTCGAGCGTGGTAGTGCAGGCACATGAGGCACGAGCAGCCGCGCCTCATCGATTTCGTGCGTTATTATCCACGCCGACACCTATACTGCGCTAAGGAATTGAGATTATAGACGAACGCGTGATATATATCGAAAATATGCAAACGAGAAGAAAAGCTCGGCCTGCTGCGAAATTGACGCGTGCCCATA